CGATTTTTTTCCGAGTCCGATCATTCAGACGGAAATTATCAGGCATTCATCAGAACTGAATAAAATGGGACCTAAATTAAATGGGAAAATTAAATGGGATTTTGTATGTTAAAACCGTTAACCCTCGCTCCGCTGGGGGAGGGGGCAATTTGCCCCCCCCCCCCCTGTGGTTTTTCATGGATGGCAAGAAAATAGCGGCGCGCAGCGCCGCCAAATTTTCAGTACCTTCCTGGGCATCAATTTGACACCTTCACACAAAATTTCAAGTCTTAGGTCACCTTAGGTCAAGAGTTTACTGAGGTCAAACTGAGATCATGTTCGAGCAAAAATGAGCAAAAAACATGAAATCTTGAAACGTTCACAAAAGCTACAGTTACCAAACAATTTCAAAGTTCATTATATGATCATCTAAACAAAAGACAGCGATACAAAACTGCTATTTCGGATTTTCAAAATTTTGGGATTTGGACCCCCAAAAATTAAAAAATATGATTTTTTTATAGGAAAAAAAAACGCAAAATAAATCCAAAAATTTCCGAATTTCGAAAAAATCGGAATATATGTGATAGTCATGCGCTCTTCTATAAACATACCAAATTTTACATCGATACCTCCTTTTTTGGCCAAGTTATAGCGAAAAACTGCTCAAAATTGATGACGTTTTATTTTTTAACTCAATTTTTAGCCATTCTAGATCACGCAGTGCAAAACAAAAACCGGCATTGAACTCCCCGTGACATCGAATTGATACCCATTGTATGCAAAAATATCAATTTCAAAATTTGACCTAATTTGACCTGTCCTTGACCTGACCTTCACCAGAAGATAATCTAAACTGACCCCAAAGGCTGCCTGACCCACATAATCGTATTTGGCATATAAAATGGACAATACAACATGCATCACATGATATTTTCATATTGTGACCCTCAGTGACCTGACCTCTGTGACCTGACCTGGTATCAGTGACCTCAAATTGTAAAATATGTGTTTGACGAACATTTCTCCATCGATGATATTCAATGAAATGCATTTTACTTGATTTTACAACGCATTTCTTGAAATGCCTGTAAACAGTGAAAATTCGACATTTGACCTGACCTGTGACGTCGTCGGTTTGACCTCTAGGTCAATGAAATTTGGTCACAAGGTAGTTTCCTGTTGGGGCTATCCAACACCGTTTGCCGCTGGTTTCACCCACGGACAGACACCAACACAGTTGCGTGGTTCTCGAGATCTTAGGGGGGGGGGCAAATTGCCCCCCCCCCTCCAGCAGGGCGCGTTGCTCGGCAGACCCCAGCGGGGCGCGGGTTAACTCATGACAAGACAATCCTTTATTTCAGTTACATCACATTACCATCAGCTAGGGCAACTACAAATGCTTAGTTTTGTCACGTGCTCGACCACGTGTCTCAACAGACATCATGCATACCTCTAGCAGTGTTTACCTACTGTTTAGTGTTCACGCACGGTTTACCCGTCGTAGTTTGCAGCGTCCTATCGCTGACCCCGCCGCGCCGGTGCGTTTGCCTCTAACGATAAACGATGACGGAATGGGATGAGTTGCAGTCTTAGTGTCCAGGCAGTCAACTGACAATTTTTTTTTTGTGCGCGTCGATTCCAAAATATTAAGGTGGAATTGCACTGATACAACATAATTTTGGTGGCATAGATATGGGCAATAATAGGGTGCCAAAAAGATACGGCATGACTCGCGCATACAGCACAAAGGTTGTAGGCATAACTAGATGGCAAAATAGCATGATGAACTGGATCTTCGTGCAGGAAGAGTTATCACTTCACCATTTCAAATATTATGATTATAGTGAAATAATATCGCGGTATACCGCGTCACAGACCTTCACACTGGCAGCTATGTGACATGAAAACATGTCTGTCAATGTTCAGTGTCGTCAGCATTGACATCCGTTTAGCTTTGCAGGAGGCACTTACCCCTGCATGTTCCAGTGACGCGAACAGCCGCCCCTGGTCACTGAACCAGACCGTGCGCTCCCGCACAGTGCACAAGGTACACGGCATTCCCTCCCGCCAATCAAATGTTTTGTTACCACCAACGGCAGTGTGCCGATTCCATGGTGGTAGTCCGAAGTCCGATACTTTATTTAAATTTACTCGTAACTACCGTATCGCGATCTATGATAATCACTGTCTGTTGCCGAATCATCTATAAACTAGGTATGCTCCAGGGACCTTGATCCCTTCACATCCCCCGTCTTCATCACCCCATGTTTCACTTGATCACGTGACTCGGCTGCGGACCTGTTCGGTCGGGGACCATCTATTTCAGTCCCTCGCCCCTCTGCTGACGCTGCCAGCGTGCAGAGTGCACTGTTCGCCCTTGATCCTGGCCGCCCCAACAAGGTCGGCGCCTGGCGCGCGTCGGCAGCGCACTGACCCTTCGCCTGCGCCGTCGCCAACGACACAAATCTTCGGCGAGGGAGGACATATAAAGAACACCCCGTCAGTCGCGGACAAAATGATGACACTGGTAACATATACCGTGGTCACTGGTCATGGCATATATTATGAATTGTATTTATGAGTCGGGTTGCCGTGGCCGAGGATCGAAGATAAAATCGTGCCGACTGTTACCATGGCGTCAATCTGCCAAACGATCGCAGTAGTTGAGCTGTGCAATAGATGATGCCGCCCAGAGGTGCGGCGGTATACATCTGAGCCCAGCGACTCCAAACCTGCAGGATCTGGATCGTGCAGGATCTGCAGGATTGCAGAGATAAGTCTGCGCCGCTGACGGCAAAGCTGAGCTGCTTCGGGTTCAAAGTGCGACAAAAACCGGCGACAAGTTCGCCCTGCAATAGGAATATAAACAGTCTTTTATCAGCTTTGTAGGACTAATTTAGACTTTGTGACCGATGTAGAGCTAGCTCCTTCATCTGGGTGAAATGGACCCATGAATGAAAAGGAAAAGCCCACTGTCGCGGTGCATTTCACATGTCCTATTCAGTGTTCGGAGCCTTTGGCTGCCCGAGATAACGATTGGACATACGGATATTGTGATATTGTGTTGTGATATTGTGAGCGATCGAATTCGAGACAAAAAGATCAGGTCCAAACTCCAAAACGTCATGCAAAACACCTTGTTTTCGCTAAATGTCAAGTGATGAAACATTCTGCTCCGATTTGCGTCTTCCAAAACAGCCTTTGCATAAACATTCATCCTCTTTGTGACGTTGAAGCAGGAAGAAGCTTTTAGGTACGGAATCAAGTGACTATTTCCTATTTACCGTCACTTGTACGGATATGCGCCTGTTCAAACAGTCAGTGTCCAGCGTCCATAACCAAGCAATAAGTGCAACAACTAGCAATTTCCGGAATGCCATGTATTTTTACGATTTATGCTTCTTGCATGAAAAGATTTAAACAAAATCGATGCTGCTTGAATGATAATAATTCGCCTGATCTGGTACGGGGACCCGCAGTTGCTACTGCACACGAACCCCAAGTCTAACCGTCTGTCCTGTCCAGTAACAACCGATAACATTGATATCGACTGCTGGTCCCTGTACAAGAGCAGCTGAGGTTTCCTGTGAGTACCCTCTGACAGCTTATCGTTGTTTCGGGTTTCCTGTGAGGGTGCTGGGACAATTTACTCAGGGTCGCTGTACAGTAGCAACTGCGGGTCCCTGTACTTCGTCCTGTGTAAATATACTGTGTATAACATAGATAGTTTTGTGATGTCAACTGGGTGACCATGGACTAAGCCCGGCGTTTATATACACCAAATCCTACTGCGCAGTACACTAGAAAACGTGCGTCTAGCCTTGTTTGAAATCCTGTCACAGGGCCAATACGGACCAGGTCAAATATGACACCGTCTAGCACCCGAAACACAGTGCATGTCTATTAGAACACGTAGGTCGGGCAGAAAATACCGATTAACCCACGAGCCCCTGGGGGAGGGCATAAAGTTGCCCCCCCCCTTTACGTTTTGTGGAATATCTCCGAAACCTGATGAGCTACGAACGTGAAGCTTGGCATAGCTTCAAATGAATACCTAGGCAATGTTTGAAGAAATTTTGGTGGTTGTAGCACCTAGAATGACGTCACAGTGACGTCATAAAGTTTTGTCGTTTTCCGATATGGACCGTTTCTGACGACGCTGAGCATGAAACTCAACTGTAAATGAACTAGACAGCACCTGATGTCATCCTAAAACATCTAAGTACACTTCCATCTAGTTCCTGACCAATAATCGGCCCTTTATATTCGGTCCCATATATCTGATGTATCGTGGGGAAACTGAGAGTCGCAAATCTATAATTTGACTTATGACGTCACTGTGACGTCATTTCAAATGGGATCGACACTAAATTTGGACACAACCTCGGCTAGGTATTCAGGAAGAGGTGTGCAAAGTTTCGCTTCTCTATCTCTTCGCGTTGCGACGATATCGTCGCGGAAGTAAAGGGGGGGGGCAACTATATGCCCCCCCCCCCCAGGGAATCCGGTTGCGCCTTACGGTGACATTTTTGCGCCCTCATTGGGCGCGGCCGGCGGGTGGCGCGGAGGCCCAGCGGCCGCCGGGTTAATTGACCCGCCCTGAATGAATTGGTGGGGTGTTGCATTACAATGCTCATGCATGGAATAGCTAAAAAGAGTTTGTCGAAGAATGGCACAGTACACAGCCACTCAAGTTGAGGAAGCAGGCTAGGGTCACGCACTGGTAGCTTGAGACGACTATTGAAAGGGGCGTGACGGTGGAATGGTGGAAGGGGCGGGGTGACCACAGCAAGAGGCGTGGGAGGGGCGGGGCGACATGATGTTATGGGAACGGCGTGGGCGTGGTTATGATATAAACAAAGACGCGCGTGTCATGAATTACATGGTTAGATTTGAGACTGTGTTTACAGAAGGCTGGATCAGGGTAGGAAGGGTAACCCAGATACTGCAGATAAGCCTCAGGGCCGCCCGCTCCTGTCAGTACTGTCAGAAGTATAGAGCGCTGGTTGCGTTCTCACCTGGACTGGTCGGGCTCCTCAGACAGCCAGCCGGCCGGCTGGAGGCCGAGCCTCTGCAGCAGCGCGCGGCCCGGCCTCACGGGAATCCACCTCTCCGGCTGCGGCTCCGGCTCCGGCAGTCCCAGCTCGTCCAACATGTCCTCCTCTGGAGGCACACGCTCCGGAGCCGGCTGCGTGGCGGCGGCCAGCCGCGTCAGCCGCTGCGGCGAGACGGTCAGCGCGCGGCGCAGCATCTCTGACCGGACCTGACCTGGCCTGTCCTGGCACCGGCTAGACTGCCGATCAGAGGCGTTCGCTCACAGAGTTGATTGGCGGCAGTTTTGAGCACTAGGGGCGAGCTCAGCTAACTTATCGCTGGATGAATCTACAGGTAGCAGGAGTCAAGGCGTTGACCCTTCGGGCGCCGAGAGTCAAGTGCCACCAGTGAACAGCACAGGTCACTCGGGGTCACTTCCAGACCCCCGGGTCAGCACAGGTTACCAGTGCACAGGGCAGGTCACTCAGAGTCACTTTCCGGGCTGGCCGGGTCAGTCCGGGTCAGGACACGTCCATTGGGTTCCCACGCCGGATGTCGAGTGACCACTGACCGCACCGCCTCCGGCTGACCCGCCGCCCCGACCCTACGAGCCGACGGGTACGCGACCGACGACAGGGGCCCCTGCGGCTGTCCCTGCGCGCGCACGGCCACACACTGAACACGTGCTGACGGCGTGTGACGTCACGACTGGCAGCCCCGCCCGGGGCACAGGGTGCGCCCGAATCTGGGACACTGTCGCACTGCCAGTTCAGACGGGGGGGGGGGCACCAGATGTGCGCCTGCAACGGCAACATGAGATGGAATTTGATTTAAGACTGCTTATCATTCAAGCATGGTGGCTGGTCGTCTCAGTTTATACAAGGATTCCAATAATAAGTCTGCGTTTACAGAATCTGCAAATCTACAGCTATGCCTAGGAACGTCTAAAACCTCTGACTGCTACTTGGATCTCATCGGCTCATCAACATAAATGTTCGAAGCTGTCTGTTGTCAAAGCCTTAATTCGGCATGTAAATAAACAAACTGCCACTCCAAAGGTGTAGCTAAATAACAGATCACAAAAAATGTGCGGTAGTTTGCATCTCTTCGGCCAGAATGTTTACGCATGGCGTCTGCAACAGTTGCCCCGGCAACGGCTGCCCTGTCATGGATTACATTAAACTTTGAACCTGGGTCAACCAGAGGACAAAGTTCAGTCTCTACACAAGGCTGATGGAAATGTTGCCACCTCTCAGTCAGCACCTAAGTACATACTTCGTGCTGTAATTGTACGGCAGACCAGGACATGCATAATTAAGTTCGCACGGCTTGGAACAAGATTGGAACTAACCCAGTATTTAGCTAGCCCAGTATTCACACGCCGAATTAACCCGGCAATGATGGTTGCTGGCTGCGGCACGTGGCATGTACTCGTTCGTCTAAGCTCGGTGTTAATTTCCATGAAATCATCCACACATCGACAGTAAAGGTGGCGTTTTCTCTATCCGTCCATCAAAGAAATGAAGCTTTTCCTGGCATGTAATACATTTTATCGGCAGTTTTTAAAAGCATTATCAGCCTGACAATGTGTGTGTGTGTGTGTGTTACGATCGCCTACTGCACTAAATCGATACCTACCACCGCGACATGCAGACCTTTCATGTCCTCGCATTGAACTCGACTGTGGCGGTCGCACGTGGGTCTGACGTAGGTAGTCACGCCATTCAGCGTTCATACGTCGCTTTCAAGGAGCGATTCAATGATCGAGCGGTGGATGTGCCACATACAGCACAGCTGCGACCGTCAGTTGCAGTACCGTGCGCGGTTCGAACCACACGCGGTGCTACTGGCGCGGTGTTTGCTGAGGTGGTACCTGGTGCTACCTGCCACGAAGAACTAGACTGGACTCACTGCGATAGCTCAGGTTGTGTGCCATGCGATAACCGTGAACAATTTGACTAGAAAGTATACCTTGTCGCAAAATATTTGATTATACCTCTACCTCGTGTATACCTTATATGTGTTAATTGTGTGCTCGAGTCGTATGTATACTTTTTGACCTGTGTCGAAACCAACAGGGCTGGGAAGCGGACAACTCCATCAAGATACATCAAATTGGGTGATGCGGCTTAAAAGGTGGGAGAACTGTTAGCTGTGTGAACCTACTTACAGCTAGTGCTTATTTCCATATGCAAAGTGAACACAACAGAAAACGACAATAGCGTGCGGGGTTCTGTCTCCCACGTTGACTTCCAGCGTAACGTTTTAGGAAACATGTGATTTCCAACTATAATATGATCAATAAAAGTCACCATAATTAATCCAACGCCAATATGTTGCTAGTCCTTCAAAACTTACAAAGCTCGCTGCTCCATGGGGTGATGCTCCGTCAGGTTGTGGGTGAGTCTGCTGATCTCCATGTCAGTCCTCCTTCTGCTGCTGTCGAACTCGGGTCAGCTGTCACAGGAGGTCACATGGCGACCTCCGCGACCCGCCGAGCCGCGGCCAGCACACCGGACACGGGCCTCCGGCGAAGGTACTTGCAACACCCCAATAACACCGGTTCATGCAGCATTATAATGCTAGTGTGCAAACGTGAGCATTTATATCGATTTCAGGACTCTAGAAAAGCAATTGATGGCTGCTACCAACTTTTGTAATGTTATGTGACCAATGACCATCGTATAACTTATAAGAGTGTTCAGTTTGTTTTCAATTTTCCAGATCTATCCTGGAGACGGATGGTGCGGACAGAAGGTAGAAATCGTACCAAGCCCTCTCGTCTTGTGATTTACAACAGAGTGGATAAAGCTGGTAGTTCTACGCTACAGACACTCATTTTTAGGTGGGTAAAAAGACATTACATAATGCATATGTGATATGTAGGTTACAGGCAATGAATGGAGTCAGACATTGCCTAGGCATTATATATGCCTGACCGACCAGGTATTCTATAGAATCCCAAGGCAGGCATTCTATAGAATTCCTGACTGTACATAAATGTGGAGCATAGACGGCGGAACGGGGAGGGCACCGGGGCACCGTGCCCCCCTTTGATTTTGGCATTTTAACGTTAGCCCTATGGGCGTTGCATGGAAAGAATGGGACCAAAAGTCGGCAGTGCCCCCCCCCCCCTTAATTGAAGGTGTTCCGCCGCTACTGATGTGAAGGGAAATAGCCTGCATCTGCTTCCAAAGAAATTATCATTGCGATCATGGCTAAGAAGAGAAGAAACGATTTCTTGCTTTGATCTACAAATTCCTGTGTATCCGTACTAACTACATTGAATGTCTTGTGTTGCAGATTAGGGATGAGGTCTCGGACCTTCAAAACTGAAGTCTCCAAGCTGTATTGGAGCCGGTATCTAAGCAGAAAGGGCGAAGCTGCACTAGCCAATTTCCTGATTAATAAGTCACGGATTGTCCCCTTCGTGTATAGTCGTCATGTTAGTTATGTTGAATTCGCCAGGTGAGAAAATGCTACATGTGTGTGGCGGCCGATGCAACTGGGCTAATGACACTTTAACAATGGTGGAATGATATCTTTTATTGTAACTACTAACTTATGTCAGCTAGCTTTCATAGACATTAGACGATTTTGCAAAGAGTTATTAGGCGAGTCTTCACATAATGAAGTTTTTATGCGAGCAGAGACACATAAGATAACGCTTGAAGAGGTCAACACTATAAAAACGAAGATCGCTGCTTTGTACCAATTAAGTCTCGACGAAAGGTTGGGGGAATGTCAATATTTTGCCATCATCACTAGTAAAAGTGTCAGGTGACTGTAGAATAATACAAAACCGTTTCTTGCTTTCGTAGATTGAAGAAACGACAGCCCATCTACATCAACCTCATTCGGAATCCTGTGGATCGCTTTGTTTCGCTGTTTCATTTTCTGCGCTCAAATCGACGTAAATTGAAGAACTCGACGGACACGGCATGGTGAGATTTCAATAACTCGAGGACGAACGGCACTTGGAATCGAAACCCAGGAGTGATGCCTTACCTGAGCTATGCGACCAGGGTCGCTGTTAGCCGTTTTCACGACGGGCTATCCGGCGAATGCACCTGATTTGACCAAATCTGCACCTAATTTCTTTTACAGCAAATATCTTCATTTTATGAATTTATTTCAGTGTTTTAATCGATGATGTTCTCTGATAATATGACAAAGCAGGCATATAAGTAATTGGTGCAACCCTAGATGATAGCTAAGAGACACACTGAACCTGATTTGACCAAATATGCACCTAATCTGTACCAAATGTGCACCAAATGTGTACTAGATGGCCGTCGTGAAAACGGCTATTAACTTTATTCCACAGCATGAGTGTTGTGTGTGTTGTGTCAGCCGTCTTAACCTTCCAGGCGGTGGGGGGGGGGCATTTTTTTGCCCCCCCCCCTTTAGTTTTTTCGACATATCTCGAGAACCGCTGCGCCGATTTTCACCAAACTTTCACTACCCTCCCGGGAGCAGCTAGCGCACATGGTGACCAAAATTTTTTCCAAAGGCTATGATGGGTTGGCCGCTAATGACGTCAGAGTGACGTCATTTTTGCCATTTTCGACCAAAAAAAAAGGTTTCGCGGGAAGAGCTGTCAGGCCTACAGCTTTAGAGATACAGAAAAATGTTTCAGACATAAAAAGTGTGGAATTAAGAGGGCTACAAAACTGCTATTTCGGTTTTTCGAATTTTTTGGATTTTGACCCCCAAAAATCAAAAAATAATTTTTTGAATATATTAGCCTAAAAATCCAAAACGTTTTTTGAATTTCGAAAAAAAACCGGAATATATGTGATAGCCCCTACCGCCTTCTATCTACATACCAAATTTGAGATCAATACCTCTTTTTTTTGGCCAAGTTATAGCGAAAAAAACTGTTCAAAATTGATGACGTCAAATTTTCAAACTCAATTTTTAGCAATTCTAGACCTCGTAGCGCAAAACAAAGACCACCATTAGACTCCCCGTGACGAGCTGCATCGAATCGATACCCATTTTATGCAAAAATATCAACTTTGAAATTTGACCTTTTTTGACCTGACCTTGACCTGACCTCCACCAGAAAGTGACCTAAACCGTACCTGATGGTCTTATAACCAGCACCATTGAGTTGGAAATGAAAAACTGGCCATAAAACATGCATCGCATAACCTTAGTAAAGTTGGGCTCATGTGGTGACCCTTGGTGACCTGACCTGTGACCTGACCTGGTATGACCAGTGACCTCTAATAGCAACATATGTACTAGACAACTGACGCCTTATCGCTGATTTTCGACAAAATGCGTTTTACTCGGTGTTATAGCGCTTTCCCTGGAAGCCCCGTGAACGGTGAAACATTTTATCTTTGACCTGACCTGTGACGTCATCGGTAACCCCGAGGTCAATGAAATTTGGTTTCCCTTGACAAATTTGACAGGGCTATCGAACGCCGTTTGAATTTTCCGGATCCGTCCAATAGTTTCGGAGATACGGGGGGGGGGCAAAAAAGTGCCCCCCCCCCACCGCGCGGAAGGTGGCTGGTAGGCCCACCGCCTGCCGGGTTAAGGAATACAGTATTCCATTATAGTATTTTTGATCAAAATAATTGGTAACATAAGGTCGATCACTGTAAACTAGAACCAAAAAGTAACTTCTCACTTTGTTCCGCTAACAGGCTGAAGAAGAATCTGACAGAATGTGTCCTGAGTGGCGACGCCGAATGTGCCATGTCACAGGAGTACAGTCACCGACGGTCGGGTCAGAACCCAGAGTTCTTCCAGCCAATGACCGCGTTCTTCTGCGGCCACGAGCCATTCTGCAGGTGAGGAATTATCCTCGCGGCCGGTGGGTTCACATGGTGTGCTGTGCCAGGCTCAAACCCATCTCACAAATCAAATAAGAGATTTTGTATTTAAGTGTCGGACCTCACCAGCATTGTATATTTTAACTTTATTACTGTCTCTTTGAGCGTCGTTTCAGCATAAGTGTGAAACGAGATACCGATTTGAAATGAAGTGAATGACCGATGGCGCCATGTAACTTTACCTTCTTAGACATCTTCATATGATCGTTCTGTGATTGTCTTGGTTACAGGAGGTTCAACAGCAGGCCAGCTCTGCAGAAGGCCCTTCAGAACCTGGAGCTTAGATACTCCGTGGTTGGCGTGTTGGAAACATTTAGAAAATCCCTAAGTGTCTTTGAGGCCTTTGTTCCAGAATATTTTAAGAATATTGGAAAGCTTTACGATAAAGCACGAAGTAAGAATATCATTTCAGCGATCGTGTAGTGTCCAATGTCAATGGTGTTTTTTATTTTAATTTTTAAATTAAGATTTAAGATCATAGGCGGCGGAACGGGAAGGGCACCGGGGCACCGTGCCCCCCTTTGATTTTGGCATTTTAACATTAGCCCTTGCCCTATGGGCGTTGCATGGAAAGAATGGGATCAAAAGTCGGCAGTGCCCCCCCCCCTTAATTGAAGGTGTTCCGCCGCTACTGTTTAAGATGTATAAGGTTTAAAATGTATTTATAATGTAACTTGATGCAATATGCATTGTCCATTATGTGCTTGAAAGCTAGAATCGTTTCAATTACAGCCATAACATATCATTCCTCATATTTACGCGAATGCGTAGTCATGCATGCTCCATTTCAGATAAGAAGGTGAACCAGAACCCGACTCACGCCCAGCCTCCAGCAGCGGTGAAGGACATCCTGGCCAGACGTATGACGTCCGACATAGAGCTGTATATGTTCGCCAAACAGCGGCTGCATCTGCAGTTCAAACGGATCTGGCCCCGGCCACAGCGACGACTGGCCAGTTCAACGGCTGTGTGAATGCACGTCCTTACTAGCGCAGTGCAATCCTGTTATTTGTGATTTGCATATTCAAGTTAATCAGTTGTCGAGGAAGTGACATGCATTATCTATTCCTATTGGCAATGTTCTTAGTGGAACCGTATGTATTGGCAATGTTCTTCAGAAGGTCTGACTAAAGCATAAAACTGGTGTTGATATCTGAATCAGGTAGAGCGTAGCTCATCGTTTCCTTTATGTTAACCCGCGCCCTGGTGGGGGGGGGGGGCTATTTTTTGCCCCCCCCTCCAGACTTTTCGATATATCTCCAGAACCGCTGCGCCGATCGCCACCAAACTTTCAGTACCCTCTCGGACATCAATTTTACACATCGTGACCAAAAATTTTTCCAAAGGCTATGATAGGTTGGCTGGAAATGACGTCAGAGTGACGTCATGTTCTGCCGTTTTCGACCAAAAAAAGGGTTTCGCGGGAAGAGCTGTCAGGCCTATAGCTTTGCAAATACAGAAAAACGATAAAGACATAAAAGATGTAAAATGGACAGGGCTACAAAACTGCTATCTCGGATTTTTGAAATTTTTGGATTTTGACCCCCAAAAATCAAAAAATAGATTTTTTGAATATAATAACCGAAAAATCCAAAAAGTTTTTGGAGTTTCGCAAAAACCGGAATATATATGATAGTCCTTACCGCCTTCTATCCACATACCAAATTTGAGATTGATACCTCATTTTTTGGCGAAGTTATAGCGAAAAAACTGTTCAAAATTGATGACGTCAAATTTTCAAACTCAATTTTTAGCAATTCTAGACCCCGTAGCGCAAAACAAAGACCACCATTAGACTCCCCGTGACGAGCTGCATCGAATCAATACCCATTTTATGCAAAACTATCAACTTTAAAATTTGACCTTTCTTGACCTGACCTTGACCTGACCTTCACCAGAAAGTGACCTAAGCCGTACCTGATAGTCTTATAACCAACACCATTGAGTTGGAAATGAAAAATTGGCCATAAAACATGCATCACACAACCTAAGTACCTAATGTTAGGTTCATGTGACCTGACCTCTGGACTCTGACCCTTGGTGACCTGACCTGTGACCTGACCTGGTATTGTCAGTGACCTCTTATAGCAACATATGTACTAGGCAACTGACGCCCTATCGCTGATTCTCGACAAAATGCGTTTTCTTCGGTGTTATAGCGCATTCCCTAGATGACCCGTGAACGGTGAAACATGTCATCTTTGACCTGACCTGTGACGTCATCGGTGACCCCGAGGTCAATGAAATTTGGTTTCCTTCGACAAATTTGACAGGCCTTTCGAACGCCGTTTGAATTTTGAGGATCCGTCAAGTAGTTTCGGAGATACGAGGGGGGGCAAAAAATAGCCCCCCCCCCCCCCACCAGCTCGCGTTATAAACAGACCCCACCAGGGCGCGGGTTAAAGGATACGATCATGCCTTCGAGTTATGAGACGACAGATACATTTACAGTCGTGCTATGGTCATTATGTGATTCTAATTGTAGATTATTGTTTCTTTGTATCAAAGGATCTTGCTGATGATATTGATGAGGTCTGACGAAAGATGTGAAGTCGTCTTCTGACTATTCGTGGATTCGGAGTCATGGCATTTAGCTCCTATCCTATGGAGCGCGTTATGGCCAATTCCTTCAATGAGTAGGTACGATGTGTTGGTTTATTGTATTGTTTATCGTTCCTATGTGGTTAATAATAAAATGCAATGGCTTTAGCAAGCATGTGCTCAGTAGACCTTTCATTAATTTCTGCAAAATAAATCAAACTCTGTTAAATAAAGTTTATAAAAAAACTGTGTAGTTTTGACCAACCATGAAAAGTCAACGCATTTTTAAAAATCAAGATGAAACGCCCTCTCATGTAGTCATCCACTAGCCTATCTCCATATATTTTCTCTTCAAGCTTTATTAATTAACTATTGTTAATACGCCAGAGCGTCGGGCGAGGACACTTAGCAACTAACACTCCTGCAGGCATGACGTAAGGAGTGCGTCATATATCCTCTGTACAATATTTCAGAGCACGGGTATGTTTTTCGTTTCCACTTGCTCCGTCCTCTGCGTATACCCCGAAATCCGGAAGGAGCCGGCCGGAACCGGCCCTGAAATGTTTTAGAACGACCTTGGCACGACCTTTTTGTTTAGTTAAGTGCGACGAGATGGCAAGGACGTCACAACAGTGACAACGTCTGATAGAGGAAAATAGTGTCACCGAAACAGTAACCAGACGCTCCAACTGTGGATCAACTAGATGATTGTTACAAATAGGCGTCTCACACTGAACGTTGAAGTGACAATGACGACAATTTAAGAATCCATCCCTCTCGTTAGTAGTTCTTTTTAAAGGTACGTTTGTGGTCAAAGCTCAAACGTACCCTTAATTGATGGCAAAACGTTTAACCCTCGCCGGCCGAGGGAGGAGGGTGCTGCCCCCATAGTTTTTTTTTTCACGCTAGCTCCGAACACGCCGGAGGTAGAGAGCTGAAACTTGGCATACCTGACCTTTGATCGGAGCCGCATCTTGTGACCTTGAAAGCATTTTCAGGTCAGGTCAGCTCACTGACCTATGACGTCATAAGTGAAACTCTCCACGGTCTTCAAATGTAGCAACTTCGCAACGCACTCAGTGCCAGCGAAGCTTTTACAGGGAGATGAAACTTACAGGATTTGGCATCCTCCAGAGGTCTCACCACTTGTATGTCTCGGATTTTTCCTAAAGGTCACATGAGGTTAGGTCGGTCACGTGACCTCACCATTATACCTAAGTCAACGGGGAAAAATGAAAGCTGCTATTTTAGCGCCGGGAACGATCTCATGCTATCTCACGCACACGGAATCGTGATTTCCTGCACTCCATGTAAGGCCCAATGCTTCACTTTTTCATTGTTGACCTTGTGTGACGTCATTAACCCGGCAGGCGGTGGGCCTCCCGGCCACCCTCCGCGCGGTAGGGGGGGGGGGGCATTTTATAGCCCCCCCGTATCTCCGAAACTACTGGACGGATCCGGAAAATTCAAACGGCGTTCGATAGCCCTGTCAAATTTGTCGAAAGAATCCAAATTTCATTGACCTCAGGGGTCACCGATGACGTCACAGGTCAGGTCAAAGATAAAATGTTTCACCGTTCACGGGTCTTCGGGAAAGCGCTATAACACCGAGTAAAACGTATTTTGGCGAAAATCAGCGATAGGGCTTCAGTTGTCTAGTACATATATTGCTATTAGAGGTCACTGGTCATACCAGGTCAGGTCACAGGTCAGGTCACGAAGGGTCACCATATGAACCCAACTTTACTAAGGAATTGTGCGATGCATGTTTTATGGCCAATTTTTCATTTCCAATTCAATGGTGCTGGTTATAAGACCATCAGGTACGGTTTAGGTCACTTTCTGGTGGAGGTCAGGTCAAGGTCAGGTCAAAAAAGGTCAAATTTCAAAATTGATAGTTTTGCATAACATGGGTATTGATTCGATGCAGCTCGTCACGGGGAGTCAAATGGTGATCTTTGTTTTGCGTTACGAGATCTAGAATTGCTAAAAATTGAGTTTGAAAATTTGACGTCATCAATTTTGAACAGTTTTTTCGCTATAACTTGGCCAAAAAAAGAGGTATTGATCTATCTCAAATTTAGTATGTAGACAGAAGGTGGTAGGGACTATCACATATACTTCCGGGTTTTTTTCGAAATTCAAAAAGCTTTTTGGATTTTTCGACTATTGTATTCAAAAATCTATTTTTTATTTTCAGGGGTCAAAATCCGAAAATCTCAAAAATCCGAGATAGCAGTTTTGTAGCCCTCTTAATTCTACACCTTTTATAATCAAAACATTTTTCTGTATCTCTTAACCCGCGCCCCACTGGGGTCTGTGTATAACACGCCCTACTGGGGGGGGGGGGGGGGCTATTCATAGCCCCCCCCCCTCCTAACTCCGAAACTACTGGGCCGATCGTCAAAATTCAAACGGCGTCTGATAGCCCCGGAAAAACTGTCGAGCGAAACCTAATTTCATTGACCTCGAGGTCACCGATGACGTCACAGGTCAGGTCAAAGTAAAAATTATTAGCACTTTGGCTTGTTCACATTTTGGACTCTGGCCGCCGTCTTACAAGTCAGATCAGGCTCATTTTTGGTTTCCACACTCGTGAACAGATGCTCTAGATACCTTGAGGGTACCAAACTTGTACTTTGATTTTCAGGTCAGGGTCAGGTCATCACAGGTCACGAAAATATTATATCATGCGTCGGTCACGTGACACATGTTTTATGGTTCATTTAGGCCATAGATTTCGAATTTGATGTCGTCTGTGTCATTCAAGGTCATTTTGAGTCGAATTTAGCTTAGGTCAGGTCACTTTCAGGTCAAAAAAGGTCAAATTTTGAAGTTAAAATTTTTCAACAAAAAAGGTGTCTATTGGATGCAGTTTGAGCTCAGGAACACGATGGTGCCATTTATATTGGTGTACGATGTCAAATACGTACTGAAAAATTGATTTGAAAAATTAATAATTGTGAATTTTTTGCAATAATGCGTATAACTTGGTCATTTTTGAAGATATTTAGCTAAAACTTGCTAGAGTTAGTCATATTCATGCGTTCTGTCACATATATTCCGGTTTTTTTCGAAAAGTCAAAAACTTTTTGAAAAAAATATAAAAATATAAATTTTGAATATTATTATATAAAATTTTCGAAATTTTCAAAATTTTGAAAATCCGAGATAGCAGTTTGATAGCGCGGTCAATTCTGAGTCCTTTCATGCAAAGAAATTGGATCTAGCTTAAAAACTGAGCTCTTGGGAGCGATTGCCGTGGTTCAATGTTTTGCGTCGAAATCGGACGAACATGACGTCACTCTGACGTCATTTCCGGCCGACCTATGGCAGCTACGAAGTTCAAATTTTGACACAAGGTGTCAAATTGATGCAGCCGAAGGTACTGAAAGTTTGGCGTCGATACGTCAAGCGGTTTGGAAGTTATTGCAGAAAAACGGGAGGGGGGGCTATAAATAGCCCCCCCCCCAGTGGGGCGCGGGTTAAGCTGTAGGTTTGACAGCTCTTCCCGCGAAACCTTTTTTGTCGAAAATGGCAGAAATGACGTCACTCTGACGTCATTAGCGGCCAACCTATTATAGCTTTGGAAAAATTTTGGTCACAATGTGCAATAGCTATTCACGGGAGGGTACTGAAAGTTCGGTGACGATCAGCGCAGCGGTTCTGGAGATATATCGAAAAAACTAAAGGGGGCAAAAAATGCCCCCCCCCTCCCACCGCCTGGAAGGTTAATGATGTCACTTCGGTCATAACAGTTTTTCGTCCATAACTCCCGATCAAATTGCGCTAGTGAGTCAGGAAAGCCACCAATGGACTCAAGAAGACCTGCCGAATCCTTCGACCAGCTTCGTGACCTTGGGCCGCTGATCTGACCTGGACCCGAGGTCAACACCACAAGTTGACCTCACCCGAACAAAAAGTATACCATTCGACGCGCCCAAGCGAGGCGAACACGATGAAGCCAAAATCGCGGCACTGCGACCGTATTTTTTTTTTTGCAAAGTTATTTATGAAAAACTGAACCCGTGCCTTGGATTGCTTGACCTGATCTCAGAGGTCACCGGTTGACCTGAGACCTTAAAATCGGATACCATTCGCTGTGTCTCATAACGGCTCGTTTTTTTCCGCGACGCTCCAGCTCCATCAGGGGCGAAACGGCCATGGGGGGTAATACAAACCAACTCGCCGGCGGCCGGCGCTTATGTAGGCCGGCACGTATGTAGAAAACCAATAGGTCCGGCGAGGGTGAAGTTCAGTGTCAAATGTAGCGAGCCTCGCATGAACAAGGTCCGGGAAAGGCGGCGCCAAGCCAAGTGCCGGGCACTGCCACATTATTTTACCCTAGACCGTAGACGTCTTATCAGCACAGCTAAGGGTTCTGTGATGGATCAGTATGAAGCCGTTCTTTCTATATAGAGCGGAAGCTTCCGTTTGAAGTAACTAGAACCCTCGCCCTGACCGAATGCGAAGTTTCCTCATTACCAATGTGGGTGGGCTCATCAGTGGTTGTGTTGGATCATCGTGGGTACCTCAGAGATCGACGTGAGGCCCTCTCAGGGAGAGAAGGAGGGCGTAGGTAAGGCCCTCCGTCTCTATCAAGTGGGGCGTGGAATCCTCATAAGCCAATACGGGACCCTCGGACGCCCACCTATAAGCCCGCCCTTAGAGCGGCATGGGGGGGGGGGGAGATTGAATTGGCGTGGGATTTGGGAGCATAAGTGAAAAGGAATCTTCTTCGGGTGCTTCAGCCAGGAACCGATAGGGATCATAAAAAAATGCCAATATATGTCCTTAGAATCTGGCACGATACCTATGAAGGCCAGTGCACTCTCGAACACCTATTTGCTGCGCAAGCGCCTTTGAGGCTATGTGACGCCTGACTCCTTGAAAACTGGGTTTGATCATCAGACCGGCGCAAGTCCCTTAGAAGCTGTTGTACGGCTCTTGATATCGGCGTGGGGTGCCCAAAGGTGGTGTGGGGAGAGGGGCCTTCTTAGGCCGACGTTCCTCCCCTTTTCTCCCCGAGAACCGGCGTGGGACTCTAGGATCCGACGTGAGGCTGCTGGAGCCTGGAGTCTTTCGTCTTCCAAGCCAATTTTTACCTATTACGCTAATACTTATTTGGGACCACCTACACTACACCGATTTACGGTTAGATTGCGAAAGGCGACCCGCGCTGTTGTGATCTCACTTTAGTAGGTACACAATGCTCTACACACGTGTAGCATACAGGGGCCGTTTCTACATCTCAAGAACGACTGGACTGATTGCACCCAAAGTTGGTTGTGGGTACCGGCAACATATGTAACTTGTTTTTATCTGAGTAAGTTACACTGTCAAAGATAGATGGCCCGATCATTCAGCTAGCTTACCACAGATAATTTTTCATTTGATTATTTTTCAATGCAGATTGCAGCGAATAACTTACAATCCCACTTTTACATTTGATTGGTCGCCAAAAAAGTTTTATCTAGTTGTTTTTATCATAAGAATTGTACAAGCAGTACATTTATTTATTTACTAGCGGCATGCCTCTTCCGCCCCTCAATGCTATTTGCCTCGTCTGCGCCGTACAGGCCGTAAATACAGATTTTGTTATGTGTGTATTCTACAGACGCGTTTGCTGCTCACGTTGATGATGCAAGTGACGCATAACAGAAATCGAAAACGAAAATATTACAAATAAAATATTGTTTTACCAGATTCTAGGAAACCAAGGCGAATGTAACTTTTGATATGAAAATATTACATGTGCAAAAAGCTATGTAAGTCATCTTAAATGAGAAAAACGGACACCAGCCCCACCAGCCAAAGCATGAGTTGCAAACTTCAGCAGTTCAAATGGCAGATAAAAAACACAGTTTCATAATTAATATATACTGCCTTGATTAAAGTTATTCACTTATCGTTTTGTAATGGTCTCGCCGGATAAGAACGAAGGAATATCAATATCAAAATACACGTTTGATAGGTGAGAGATAAACTATACTCAGTCTGCATAATGTATCTTTGTTACATTTTGTAATCTGCATGTTACAAGCCTTTAGCCAGAAGATGCCATAAGTCAGAGTAGGTTTGTGGGCATAGACTTTAAAACTAGGAGTTGTTTTGCCTTTAAGCTAGTTATCTAGGTACCTACCCTTGCAGCGATAGGTAGGTACCTACCTACACATTTTTAGGAGCTATATTTTATCCAACCTGCTACATGTGATTTTAGGATAATGGTTTGCCGAGGAGCCATATCGATATAAAAGATAAGCTCAAGCTGGGCTGCTCGTAATTATAATGTGATGGTCGTACATTTCTTCTAATATCTTCTGTGAAGTGCTGGAACATGAGTGGAGTGCAATTTTCATTATCATACAAGCTCCTTCGTTCTTATAATGTGCCATTGTTACCTATGCATGCTACATTCAATAAAAGGTAGCAGACTGGTATTAACATTCATGGCAAGAAGTGTGGATTTTGGAATCAAATTGAGGTTTATAATCTCAGGCTAGTAGTTGTGAAAATGTTTAATTTGGCAAGTCTTTAAGATGGCACATTTGGGTTTTTCACATCATGCCTCATGGTATTTCAAATTTTCTCAGAAAATATTTACAAGCACAGGTTCACAAAATATGTTTCTGCTTCTTCTAGATTTTCTGGCTTGCAACTAATATAACCACATATTATCTGAATTACCACACTACTGTTTATTGACATTCAGATGACTGAGTTTTGTTCTCAATTACCATGCCTAGCTTACTATTTTGCCCTTTGATGAATGAATGGATTGATATGCTGTAATTTTGGTGTATGTGAAGATGAAATCTGAGTGGTAGGTAGGTTTGTTTGTAGGTTGTAGGTTGGAAGGTTGATGGTTAGTAGGTTACCTACCTAGTAGGTAAGGTTAGGTCAGGTTAGATTATATTTTTATCTCTTTGGACTTCATCTTCACACTTGCTGTAATTTTGGTGCTTCTTGACTTGTTTTAAGGGTGCGTTTCACGCGACCTTTACACCACCTGGCGAGGATCTTGCCGACATAGAGATGCGTTTCTGGACCAGTAGATGGCCCTAGCGCTGAACGCCGGTTTGTTGTCATAGGACAAGTATCACATTTCCCCTGTCCATCCATCTGTTAGCGCAGAGGGGTTGGACTGCCGGGCCGCCCCTCCCCATCCGCGCCCCGCGAGTTCGGGGAGGATTGGCACGGGTCCGCCGCGCCGGTCAGGCCGGGCGGAAAGGACCAGATGTCATGCTCTCAGTCGAACCACATTGGGCCGAACCCGCGCCCGGACACACACGGATAGGGAAAGACCGAAATAATGAAAAGGCTAACAGAATGAGGTACAGAAAAGCAGCTTCAGTCACATTCATAGTGTTTGCTTCATTAATCCTTGCTTGGCGTGGAGAATGGGGCGTTTTTTAAATCAAAATTGCAATTTTTGCCCGGAAAAGCGCCACGAAACTTGGCATAGCTTATCATACATCAATTTCTAATCGCGTGTGAAATTGTGGAACCCAGGTCTCAGAAGTTTAGGTCACCCAGTTCAGGTATATCATAGATGCTCGAAACTCGGTTTATTGCATGAGCTATCAGCATGAGCTATACTGTATAGTGCCGGATTTTCGCATCAGAAGGCACAGAAGAATACGCTTTATAAAACACTTTTTTTGCAATTTTGTCACCGCTTCAGAGCCACAGTAGATGCCCGAGTCCTTTGAAAGTTGCTGTGCACGATGTAATAAGGCCATTGGTAGCTACCTACAACTTGTATGTCTCGGAATCTTATAAGTTCATCCGGACTTAAATCCCCCAAGAAATCGTTTGGGTCGGAGCTTTCGAATTGTATCACAAAACTTCGTCAGCGTGTCGTAATCGGGTTCGGGGGTATCGGTCGCAAAATTGAGGACGTTTTGCGACCGACTGGATTCCCCGTGATGAGGTACATCGAAATAGGTACTATTTTTATGCAAAAGTATCAACTTCGAAAGTTGACCTTTTTACCAGACCTTGACCTAACCTCCACCAGAAAGTAACCTAAACCGTCCCTCATGGCCGTTTAACCAAAACCATTGAGTTGGAAATGAAATATTGGCCGCAAAACATGCATCACACGGCCCTAGTAAAGTTGGGTTCATGTGTTGACCCTTGGTGACCTGACCTCTAGGTTACCTGACCTGGTATCAGTGACGTCTTTTAGCAACATCTGTACTAGGCAACCAACGCTTTATCGATGATTTTCGATAAAATGCCTTTTAATCAATGATATAACGAATTGTCCAAAATGCTTAAAAAATTACTACTAAAATGTTCGTAGGCCCGTGAACGGTGAAAATTTTAACTTTGACCTGACCTGTGACGTCATCAGTGACCCTGAGGTCAATGAAATTAATTTTCTCAAGGCAACAGGGCTATCGAACGCCGTTTGAGTTTTGCGAATCCGTCCAACAGTTTCGGAGATACGGGGGGGGGGGGGGAAATAGCCCCACCAGTGAAAGTCTTAAGGTTATGTGATCCGAGGTCGATCTTTGACCTTGACCTTTCAAAGTCAACACATATATGCTACGAGGCGAAATTACGAGAGGACTACGATGCTGCTAATTGCTATTATGCAGTTTTGCCTAGCTTTATTACTTCAAAAGTGATACGTGAAAAACTATCTCTAGAGACGCTATTTCGACTGAAATTCAATCAATTACACATCATTTTGTTGCTAATTCGTTGAGAAACACGGTCATGAAGGTTTCATGTCGCTATCTTTCATAGATTCGCCAATATTGGCTAAGTAATTTGGATAATTGCAGCTTTCCCCGAAATTTGACCTTTGACCTGCCATAACTGGGTCAACTATTAAATTAGGGTTAAAAAATATACCACCAATCGCGAGTAAGTACTCGTTGAGAGCAATCGACTGCTCTTTGTTGCGAAGCGAGCTACGACGCTTAGTTTCGAAACGCCGGGGGAGGGGTATGAAAAATACCCTGCCAGGGCGAGGGTTTTGACATAACAGTCGAACTGATATTTGGTCTCACGTCACTCAGGGTCTATGTGTCCATGGAATTTGTAGGCGTTGCTGGTTGTTTTCATTATTTATGTTCAGTACGGACTGCCCAGGTCAGGTCAAATACGGGCTAGTGACTGCCCAGGTCAGGTCAAATACCTATTGTCAAAAGATACCTGTTCGCTGTTCGTAATACCACTCACACAAACTTGTGACATCTTTCAAAATTGTTAGTTTCTCACAAGCTCTTCCCGGCGTACTCCCGATCAAGAGTGAGAGGCGCGCGATAGGAGACGCCTGGCTGGGCGCCGCTCATGGATAGATCGTGGGATGAGTCTCCGACCCGTCTGGTCACAACGAAACTTAGCAGGGAGGGTTCAGAGCACCTCGACGGCGGCCGAACGCCAGCGGAGCGCCGTAACTAATGGGTGTGACACTGTGTCAACAAACGCCGCTGAGTGACGGCAGTGTTCTAAAATTGGATTTTGGTTGGGTGTGACGATGATGACCAAAAAATCTAGGATGAGAAAAAAACAAGTGAAAACCTATATCACTTTCGCAATAAAGGCGTAACGCTACGCTGGCTGATAATAAAAGAACATACCATTCCTGACCACCAAAACTAACCGAAAAAGACGATGCAAATAGGTAAGGATGATATACGGCAGAATTATAACTTTAGCATCTGATCGCCAAGTGTTTCGAAATCCGTCCCATTTTATCCCAACCTTTGTGTTTGATTGAGACTAATGAAGTTAAGAATCACCCTTGCCTCTTATACAGCTAAGAATGAATACCTACTTCAACCAGTGAGATTTCATTCTCCTCACAAGTCAAAATGCATCGTCACAATTGAATGACTGTCCAGTGGCCATCCTTCTCCTAGCCTTAAATCAATGCCTTCCTTTCCGTTTCAGATGCAGACAGCAGATATTACCGTCAGCATCTGCTAAGTTCCTACTCATGCTTACTGGCACGGATCCAGGACGGTCCTTCTGCCTGTATATTTCTCCAAAAGATCATCCGCGGACCTCCATCCTCGCGACGCCAGTCGCCATCATGAGCGAACCAGGTCTTTAAGAAGCAGAAGATGCAGTGATTCTGTTGAAATCTGTTGTCATATCTTAAGGAGGGTGGGGGAGGGGCGGGTGAGGGAGCTCTCTCCATATGCAGGCTTTGGTACTAGTGCCATGTGGAGAAGTTTTCTTTCTTTTCTAAGCAAAGGAAGTGGGAAGGAACCTGTCGTTGCCGTTGCAAAGGGTATCATTCTGTCGTCCTGTATTATTGATTTAGCGCAGTTGACTCAGACTGTGTATTTGTATGTAAGTGTGTAATGCGTGAGGCGTGGTCATCACTGTGACACTGTCAGACATAAAATCTTAGGTAATCATGATACCCTGATGGGCAGTTTGTTGACGTAACTGATCGCTATGAAACCAGAAACCGTATAACTCATGTGTTCTGGCCTCTGGGACGTTTTGCGCCTACAATATGGCAGCACCGCTTCCAAGATTACTGTATATTTGAGATAATATGCGGCAATATAAGTATGTAGTTTTCGTTCGCATCTGATCTGGTAATATTCGTACAGTGTACGCAGTATAGCTTTGAGCTTTCCATTTTCAACAGATATGACAATGGCCGGATGATACTGGGCATGGTGCCTTTGCTCTGGGCACACGGAACGGGACGCAGTATTGAGTATGCAATTGCAGTCGCACGCCACTATGCAGCATGACATACGCCGGAAATCTCCCGGCCCGAACGCCGGAACGGCCAGCGATAGTCGGTACTCATTACGCATAGTGAAAATGGAAACGGTGTCAGCGCAACACTTCGAAAGGAACGGTGCACTACATGAGACTAGACAAAGGGTCACTGATTAGGGCACCCCAAACGGAACGATGTGCACTGCGCAGCATAATACGCAATATCGCAATAAAAAGCGTGCAACTGACCAGTAACCAGGGCATCCATATCGGAACGGAACGGGATGCAAAAAAAAAAAGATAAAAGGATGCCACCGACCTCATGGCCGGCCACCGAAACGGAGCGGTAGCTTCGTATCATGTCATATGATAAGTGCTGAGTGAGAGCGTCAATGATCAGTGATCAGTGATCAGAGCACCCGCAACAGAACGGAGGGCATCAGTGATCACTGATCAGAGCAACTGCAACGGAACGGAGGGCATCGCTGATCAGGACACCCCAAGCGGAAGGGAAAGCGAGAGCACAACTGACCAGAACACCCGAAACGGAACGGGAGTGAACGGAACGCATTAGCGGCTCGCCGAATCGCGATTCCGGCCAAACATGGCCTCAAGAAATAGGTCACAGGTCAAAGGTCATTTGGGTCAGGAATATGAGATTTTCAGAGTAGGTGTCAAATTAATTGACTCGAGGGTCCTGAAAGTTTCGTCGCGATCGGCCGCTTTTTACGCGAGTTATTCTCGAAAAAAAACGAGGGGGTGGTTCGTTCGACCCCCCCCTCTACGGGCGAGGGATAATTTATTAAAAAGCTAGGGCCTTCTTAATCCCATCTACCAGCTTCAGAACATGTATTGGGCAGATCTGGGAATACCGTATCTTAAATTTATCCCTAGAGGTGTGCCAAGGTATCCTTTCATTCATCTTGGCTTTCCCTCGGCCGAACGCTTCGTGTTTAAAAACCTTTAGAAACTAATTGAAATAAATAATTGGCGGTAAGATTATTGCAAAGGCATGAGAAATTAACGTAAAATACATCATTACCGGTCTTATAACCTCATTTCGCGTATGAAACCTGCCAGAGTCCACAGAGTTTCATATTCATCCCTAGGGTGTGCCAGGGTGGCGTGTCAGTCATCTTGAACCCCTGCCCGACCCGACGCCTCGAGGTTTAAAGACATCTAAAAACTAATAACGTAAATAATTTGTGGTGAAATTGATATAATATGATCAGAAAAGAACGCAGAATAAATTAGTATCGGTCTCAAAACATTATTTTGCCTATGAAACCAGCCAGAGCCCGCGGAGTTTTAAATTCATCCCTAGGGTGTGCCCAGGGTGGCTTTTCTCATCTTGGACCTCTACCAGGCGCGACGCCTCGAGCTTTAAAGTCCTCTAGAAGCCATTGACGGACATAATTTGTGGCGAAATTAATGCGATAGGATCAGAAATAAGCGCAGAATAAATTGGCATCGGTCTCAAAACATTATTTTATCTATGAAACCAGCCAGAGCCCGCGGAGTTTTAAATTCATCCCTAGGGTGTGCGCAGGGTGGCTTTTCTCATCTTGGACCTCTGCCAGGCCCGACGCATCGAGCTTTAAAGTCCTCTAGAAGCCATTGACGGACATAATTTGTGGTGAAATTGATACAATAGGATCAGAAATGAATGTAGAATAAGTTGGTACCTGTCTCATACCCCTATTTTGGATATGAAAGAAGTTAGAGCCCACCAAGTTTTAAATTCATCCCTAGGGTGTGCCAGGGTGTGCCCAGCTGACTGCGGGTCCAAAGATGAAAATTTTGTAGGCGCATCCTGCGCAACTTAGTCAAAAGCGAATTGCAGAGGTAGTGTTTAATTTGCGCAAGCAGCGGCTCATCCGTTTTGCGTTGGCAGCAAACCACTAATCATAGTTGTTATGAATATCCAAAAGCATTTATTCAGAACACAAGCCTGGTTTTTACAAACAGTTGAGGTGATCAAGGTCATTCAACGCATATTTGTTATTAACAGCTGGAAGTGTGCAAGGTTATTTTCTTTCGATGTCAGTCAGGGTGAGTTGTTGGGTTTGTGCCTTGATTTCGCTTTTTTCATGGAAATTATGTATTATGTAGCAAACCTATAAGTTCTAACTGTCTACATGGCGCTGCTAGGTACCTATATCTGGTAATCTGGCTGTTAATTATTGAGCATGAGTTGAGCATTTTTCAAAGATGAAAGAATTCCAATTTACCTGGTTTTGGGGATGAAAATATTTTACCCATTAGGTGTGATTTTCCACCCAAAATTTCCAAAAATGGAACACTGAGTGACGGGCGGAGGGGACCGTCGAAACGCGCGGGCCATACAGCCAGAGACATCTCTCGGCGATTTTATGAACTAGCTGTGCAATGACTTTCAAATGAATAGAACTGCATAGTGATGCATGCAATGATGATCCACTCTACAGGATTGTGCAGAGAATCGATGTCTTTATGATTCCTAGCAGCCACATTTTTGAAATTGTTGTCATGGCTTTCATGCAATGCACTGCAAGATGAAAATTGTATCATGCAAAACATAGTACAAAATTTGAAAAAAAGGCTTGCTAGGAAATGTTTTCCTTAACTTTGTCAGTCCAAAACTGCAAACATCACAGTCGTACGACAATCCGTTATTGAGTTCTATTCGTTTGAAATATTGATTTTGCAATATGTTTGTCTAAATTGCTCAGTATATGTGGATTGCAGAACAACGGTAACCACTCTGTGATGACGAGGTTAACGTCCTTCATGACATATCCAAAAACGAAGGCAATCGAAGCAACGATGCTCTAGATATTTGCGAAAAACGTTTCTCATAGCGTTACGCGTGAAACGCACCCTTAATCTTCTTTCAATCCTTTCTCATCAATAGTTATGGTACACTTGTCTCAGAAAGTTGACAGGTTACTGGCATTCCAGATGTGCTGTCAGCTGTTCAGTAGGGTTGTTCAAAAAAAAACGAATTTTGGAAAAGTATTTGGGCTCATGGCTCATGTGGTGCGGTATTCTTTTATGAGTCCAATGATGCCTTTTTTTCTGAAAAGTATTAACTTTTAGGGGCTCCTCAAACGGCTTAAAGAGGACCATGTTACGCCCGCCGACCGGCCGGTGTCCATAAGGGCGAGAATTCGACGCCGCGCACGGGCGGCAGCGCCTTATCGGCACCGCGCGCCACGACATCTGCCGGGCGGCCGGCCGGGCGGTGGGAAGTTTTAAGGGTGGTCTTTATCACGCGGTTGGGGTGCGCTATCCCATGTTTTCGGGGCGGAAAGTTTCAGTGCAGCATCGGTGCGTCTGCCACCGGGTGGTCTGTGTCGATGGTACAGAAAATAAGTCAAACAGAGCTAGAAAAGAGTGAGTGATTCTGGGTAGTTGCCTCGAAGCAATCCTTTTTAAGAATACAGCTGCCTTCTTAACGTACCGTATCACTTGTTAATTCTTCAAAAAGCAAACTCTGAGCAATAACACACCTCTTTGCATTGCTGTTGACAATTTACGTTAGTTTTGGACGGTAGCTCGCACCCCCAATATGCTGCCGCCCAACTTTATTCCAACGGCGAAACGGCAACTTCGCGAGAATCGAAAATTCACGATATACGTACAGCAGGGGCTGGCAATGCAGTATGCACAAGGACATAATTTAGAGGAGACCCGACAGTCATCGGCCCAAGTTTGGAGGTGGCTTTGACGAGCATAGGCGTCACCAATGTCATTATTCAGATACGTTGATATCAGATGCTGGGGCAACAGAATCGACGCCAGGGTTTAACTTAGATTAGCAGGTCGAAAGAAAACATAACATGTCTGGGAATGACAGGGTGGCCACCCTGACAGTGTGACGAAGTGAGACATGAGTAGAGACATTAGCCGGAGTACCTACTCATATAAATCAAGCGCCGTTTATCCAATCCTTCGAGCATAAGCGACGCCGGCAGTCCGGCCAGGGCGGCCGTGCCCACCGATGCCGATCAAGACGCGAATCCAGACCCGGCATAGAACACAGCTCTGCCCTGACGTGACACATTACCCCGGTGTGTCACTCATGACGGATAGACCAATGCAGGAGCCTTGCCAGCTCCTGTTATACCTACTTCGTTAAATTTTCGATTCTCGCTAAGTTGCCGTTTCGTCGTTGGAATAGAGTTACGCGGCAGCATATTGGGGCTGCGAGCCACCGTCCAAAAGCAGCTTGAATTGTCAACAGCAATGCAAAGAAGTCTGTTATTGCTCAGACTTCAGAGCTTGCTTTTTGAAGAATTAAAAAGTGATACAGTACGTTAAGAAGGCAGCTGTATTATTGAAACGGATTGTTTCGAGGCAACTACCCAGAATTATTCAGTCTTTTCTGAGCTCTGTTTGTGTTATTTTATGTACCATCGACACAGACCACCGTGGCAGACGCACCGATGCTGCACTGAAACTGAAACGCCCCGAAAACATGGGATAGCGCACCCCAACCGCGTGATAAAGACCACCCACTTAAAACTTCCCACCGCCCGGCCGGCCGCCCGGCAGATGTCGTGCCGCGCGGTGCCGATAAGGCGCTGCCGCCCGTGCGCGGCGTCGAATTCTCGCCCTTATTGATACCGGCCGGTCGGCGGGCGTAACATGGTCCTCTTTAAGCCGTTTGAGGAGCCCCTAACAGGTAATACTTTTCAGAAAAAAAAAATGCATCATTGGACTCAGAAAAGAATACCGCACCACATGAGCCATGAGCCCATAAACTTTTCCAAAATTCGGTTTTTTTGAACAACCCTACTGTTCAGGGTCCATCCTCCAGCCTCATACAGTGTGCATCATCCTCTTTCTGATGATGTAATTTGTTGTATTTCCAGCTATCTGGGCCCAAGGAAGACATGTCTCATGACCAGGATCAGCCTGATGTGGTGGATCATACCCTGAAGGTGGATGATGATGATCTGTTTGCTTCTGCTGTTCAGGTCAGTTTGCAGCTCACTGCTCTGAGATGGGGATTGAATTTAATGTATCACATTCAATATCTTTCCAAGAGATATATTTTCTTCATGATCATCCTAATGCTCCCTTCGCCCACGGTGTACGTTTTCGATTGATGAGGCTTCATTTTATCATATATGAATGTATCGTTTAGGGATGTTTTCTTACCACAGTTCCCTCAGTTATCTCATTCATGCACCAGTGACACCCTCGGCTAACCTCTGCTCTTCCTCCACCAGTCGCCGCTGACGGAGAGCGCCGCCTCTCCGCCGCCGTCGGGCGCGGCGCCCGGCAGTGGCCCGCTGTCAGCGGACCTGGCCGACGCCACGGCCGAGGTCAGCCTCGAGGACGACGAGGAGACGCCGTCGCCGGCCGAGGCGGCGCGCCTCTCGCTGGACGACGCCAGCGAGCTGACAGAGCCGGCAGAGCCGGCGCCGGAGCCGGCCGACCGGCAGACGGAGCCGGCGAGGGAGAATGGCGCCGCCAGCTCGGAGACGGCGCAGATCCAGTCCACAGTGCAGGTAGGGAGGGGAGATGCTATACTGGAGGTAGGCAGGTGTTGTCTGTGCTGCCTTATAGGGGGAGATGATCTGTGATGTGTACTGGTGGAAATGGGACCTGCCTACGCGGGAGGTAGGAGGGTTTATTTGTCCGTGATGTTGGAAAGAAGACGATCCATGCTCTGTGCAGTGTGCAGGGTGTGAAGGAGAGCAGCTGTTGACACGAATCTGTTCGGGAAGTAATAATTGTATGGTGAGCTGATCCCTAGTGCACAGTGAACTGGTGGTTAAACATTACGAACGTAGCTCATGCCTATCAAATTTCATGAACATGCCTTGAATTGCCACTTTTCCGCTAGGTACCACGTTATCTCCATTCACTTAGATCAGCTCGCGAGATACCGTCTCGTTTCCCGTAGTTCGTTTTCCGGGTACTGCCCTGCTGCTAGCCGAGCTCCTGCTCACGTCTCTGGTCTATCTAGGGCCTTTGTAAATATGACGTCACAAAGGGTCCGCTGTACGGATTCCGCCCACAGTATGACTCATTGTTGATGCAGCTGTGTGTCTGTGAGACACCTGACGTCGATGTTGGTAACTTGTCCGTTGTGCTACAAGCCTTTTGGCGTAACATGTAAGGTGACTCTCCAAATCCATAGCTTCACGGCATGAAGAAATGATTATTTGGTTTTACCGGATCGGCAGTGCTATGTGTACCGCTATTATGACACTGTTTTAATTTGGTGTTACCTGTTTAAATAGTAAGTTCGTATCAAATGCCATTGCCACTCACCCCGTGTCTTGTTAACACCTGTCCTCCCGTTTTCAGGAGGACGGTAACTTAGCCTTGTGCCATGCCATGTTAACGCCTGTCGTCTCTTCCCCAGGAGGACACTAACCCCGCTCCGTGCCGTGCTAACGCCTATCCTCCCGCCCTCAGGAGGACTTAAATTAACTTCACCCCGTGTCTAACTACGCTTATCCTCCCGTCCTCAGGAGGACGCGAACGGCGAGGAGGACGATGAAGAAACTGACCAGTTCATCGAGGTCAGCGTCGTGGAGCCCGTCAAAATCGGCGACGGCATGTCCTCCTACATGGCCTACAAGGTCATCACCAAGACCAACGTCTCCTACTTCAAGTAAGTCGTGAGTGGCGGCCGGTTTGGGAGAGCGGTGACTGGGGTGATTGGTTTCAGTGGTGTAATGACATTTTACCAGTTTGCCTTCGAGCCGGGGATATTTTGACTTTCACACAAAAAAAGCTCATTATGAGAAATACGTGTTCTGAGATTTTCAGTTATTGTTTTTTTTTTCATCTGGCGATGCGACTTACGTTTGTCTTGTGCTTTTTCTTTCCAATTTAATTGAACCATCAAAAAAATGACCGCTAAGTTATGAAGTAACTACCTGTCTCGCGCGCCCTCCGCTGACGGTGTGCTGACGTGTGCTGGATCGCCGCAGACGGCAGCGGTTCTCTGTGATGCGTCGCTTCAGTGACTTCCTGGGCCTTCACGACAAACTGGTCGAGAAGCACATCCGCTCGGGCCGCATCGTGCCGCCGGCGCCGGAGAAAAGCGTTATCGGTGAGGGCGGCCATGTGTGCCGTGGGGGGAGGGTTGGGGAGGGGAAGTACCTACCGATAGTGACCCCGATTGACTGGTGGTTCAATCCCATTGGTTTTTAGAATCCAGCATGGTGGTGAATTCGACCAGGAAGTGGTATGCCGAGTCCCGACGGAGGTTTTTGGTGTGTGAAAAATTATCAGACTGGGAGGATAGTTCTATGGGCGTATATGAGTGATTCATGCGACACAACATCCATGGGTGGCTGTAGTATGTTACACACGACGCTATCGCTCGATATTGCCGATAACAATGTGTGGTTTGTAAATGTCAGCATATGGCTCGGTGTCACTATCAAGTCGACTTATGGCATATGTTGTGAAGTATTGCGTTATTTCTGCTCAGCGCCGTGATGACGGGACGATACCGTATCTCTTCTAACCCTGTCTCACCCCACCTTCAGGCACCACCAAGATCAAGATCGGCGGCGGCAGCGGGGGCGGGGGCGGCCACGCGAGTCACGGCGGCGGCCCGGAGACGGGCGGCGGTCAGAGCGAGTTTATCGAGCGGCGCCGCGCCGCCCTGGAGCGCTACCTGAACAGGACGGCCGCCCACCCGACCCTGCGCGCCGACCCCGACTTCAGGGAGTTCCTCGAGCTGGGTTAGTGACAGTCGAGTCCCGGGGAGTGGTGGTGGAGGGGAAATGAGGCGAGCCACTGGACTTTGGAGAGGTTTGGTGTCACGTCACCGTACAAAGAACACGCAATATTTCGTATATTTTGTCCGGCTGTTACCACGCCGTGACATTGAATGTTCATTTGTTGGTTGATGGCACGCTGACATTTCCCTACTTATAGCCTTCGACGACGACTATGACATAACATCTGTTAGTCTATGCACGAATGTAGCACTAGGGCGTATGAATAAGACTAACGCCATTTGTATTGCCTTGAATAGCCAAGGCCTCGCCTGCAAATGTTCAGATCCGTTCGAGACTCGAGAGCCCACTGACATCTCACCGAGTTGTGTTGTTCCCGTTTCAGACGAGGAGCTGCCACGCGCCACTCAGACGTCGGCCCTCAGCTCAGCCGGCGTGCTCCGACTCTTCAACAGGGTCGGCGAAACTGTCAGCAAGATCGCCTTCAAGATGGACGAGTCGGACGTGGTACGTGCCGGGCGGGCGGGACGAGGGATCGGGCGGGTTTGGTGAGCTGCCCTTCATGATCCGGACGGTGGGCGCTGGTTGAAGGCTATGTTACTGTAGATCATTAACGTCAGACACTGATCCACTTCATTCGATGGGAATGCTGGGTGTTAACTTCATGCTGGGTGTTCTCATCTTGGCCGTACACAATTATCTACATCAGCTGTTAATGTAATTATCCATAAATGAGTTCCTTGCTCGCACAGCTAAGTGACAGAGATGTAATCGTCTCCTCATGCTCTGGTCTCTACTCTGTTCTGACATTTGCCGGTACTGGTTGAAAACAGAGTGTGTTGTGTTGAAGCCATAAATCCTGAGGCTCATTTTCGATGGCGGGGCGATAACACTTGTGTTTGCCGTCTCGCTGCCTACATTGTTCCGCAGTGGGAGGGCCAGGTATCTTTATTCGCTCAGTCGACTCAACTTATTGCACGCATATATTTTTGCTGTAACCCTTTACTATTCCTTTTTTGATAGTGCATTGTTTTACCATCCTGCGGTTTGAGTTTCGCTTGTTCTTTGTCTGTGGTACGTATTCGATTGATCGATTATGTTAATGTACTCTGAACAGTCAGAGGGTTCTAGCAGGACTCTGCTGGTAGATGAGCTGGTCTGCTTCTGTGTTGAATTTATCAATTTTCAGTGTCGAATGACCCTCTGCTCGTGTATACTGTTACCCTTCTACTCAATGGTAGCCAGCGCTGCTGTGAGGCGAAGACCCCGCCTTACCCCGTATTAGCGTGTAGAGGTGTCCACTTGTGGATGGACATTTATTACCAGTCCTGACAGCAGCAGCTGTGGAGGTGATACAGCGTTATCGGTCCCCTATCTTCGCCTTCCACCGCACGGTGGCACTAGTGTCGGCATGAGGGTGGACTGACGCTCCTTGAATAGTGGACCGTCGTTCCATGATTGTTATGTTGTTTGAGCGCATTTGGTACTCACCTATCCGTGCTTCTATCCTCAGGATACTGAAATCCTTCTCCTCCACGCCGCAACCCCCCTCCGGGCTGGACAGGCAACTTTATCTCATGCGGGCTGCTCCCTTGGAGCGGCACCGCTGCTCCTGAGGGAGCGCACCCCGTAGCCGGGTGCAGTGAGTGCCTTGGGGCTGGGTGGCCTGTCCTTGGACGGGCTCAGCCCCGGCGACTCACTAGGGTGCCTGCCCAGACCAATGTCTCCCCCTAATTCCTATCATCCTTCCGGCTCTGCAATGGTCTTGTCGACCGAAAGGGCCTAACCCAACAAAACAAACAAACAAACAATTTGGTACTCTGCCTGATCCGTGCCCTTCCATTCGATGTTTCCATATTTTTTAATAGTACAATAGTACCTACCTTCTGTCTCAATGCTCCTTTTAGAACATAGCTAGCATTGCTCATGCTGGTGTTGTCTTTCTACTTGTTATCTGAACTGTCTTGTTCTATCTGTTTCTAGCAACGGAGCCGGGTACAATCGACAATCGTAGTTCTTGATCTTTTTATGGCTTAATGTGTTCGCACCCATCACGTCATATAGCTCCCAGCCATTTGTACTGAACTTTCCGACCCCAGCTCCCCACGTGAGCTGCCCTGTGCGAAGAAACTCCGCCGCGTGACTCCTGTCCCCCACTGCTGCTTGTTCTTCCAGTAGCCACATCCTCTCCCATCACCCGCGCACACAAAGGACTGACCACTGCTGTCTCACGCCCCCGGCAGCGGTTCGAGGAGCGTGTCCATTTATAATTATCCTACCCTGTCTTATATTTACCTCCCCTGACCGCCGGTGTCTCCCGCCGTCTGGCAGTGGTTTGAGGAGCGCGTCCAGCAGATGGAGTCGCTGGACGGCCAGCTGAGGAAGCTGCACGGCTCGGTCGAGTCCCTGGTGCTCTACAGACGAGAGCTGGCCACCAGCACCGCCCAGCTGGCCCGCGCGGCCGCCATGCTCAGGTGGGGAGCGGGGCGTGGGGAGCTGGGGACCGGGTAAGACGCAGACTGCTTAGGGAGAGTGAGAGATGAGGTGGACAGTCCCGAGCGGTCGCCACGCTCAGGTAACTGTTGGGGGACTGTGGGACCGGGGGGGGGGGGCACTACGGAAATAAGGGAATGGAAGCGGCCGTGGCGAGCAGGTATTGAGATGAGGCGAGACATGCTATTTTCAAATCTCTAGTGCGTAGATGACTTATGATATTCGTACATTTCGTACTTGTTTAATGTCTTCCGTATCTCACTCTTCAGAGTAACGTGACGTGCTGTCCAATGCTCACCTTCCCTTCAGGATGATTTTATGGCTCTGACTGACTTCTCTATATCTAGTAACGTAGAGGAGCTCACGGCGCTCTCTGACCCTCCATATCCCCTCTCTCCATATTCCAGTAACGTGGAGGAGCACACGGCGCTCTCTGACCCTCCATATCCCCTCTCTCCATTCAGTAACGTCATGGAGGAACACACGACACTCTCTGTCCCTCCATATCCCCTCTCTCCATATTCCAGTAACGTGGAGGAGCACACGGCGCTCTCTGACCCTCCATTCCCCCCCTCTCTCTCCATTCAGTAACGTGGAGGAACACACGGCCCTCTCTCGGGCACTCAGTCAGCTCGCCGAGCTGCAGGAGCGTGTCGAGCGCCTGCACTCGCAGCAGGCCGACAATGACTTCTACATGCTGGCCGAGATGCTGAAGGACTACGTCATGCTCCTCGGGGCCGTCAAGGTAAATACTTTTACTTCTAGTGGGTGTTTCGATTTACGAATGACGATATTTACTTGTGGAAAATGGTTAACGAAATCGCACACTTGACTCCACGGAGGAAAGTTATACTCACGGCCATGCGTGGGTTGCATTACCAGGTTTGTGGAAAACTTGCGTATTGATCGAGTTATGTCGACGTTTGCACATATCATGCTGCCCAGCTGGCTCACTTCATACCGACTTGGTCCGATACCTATATTCAAGTCTGCGGATATACTCCGTTGATCTGTTTCTGACGTGTCTCTCTCCCCAGGACGTGTTTCATGAGCGGGAGAAGCTCTACCAGACGTGGCAGCACGCGCAGCAGACGCTCACCAAAAAGCGAGAGGCCAAGGCGCGCCTGGAGCTGCAGGGACGCTCCGACAAACTGCAGCAGCTGGGGGACGAGGTCACCGAGGTCAGTGTCGGGGTCACAGGGGTCACCTAGGGTTACTTTGGGTTCCCCGAAATGACTGATGGCCAGACAGGTGCCCCGCAGGTTACTCCGAATTAAATCAGTCACTCTCGCATTAGGAAAGGAGATCAGACTGTCATAGAAAATACGTAATAAAAGCTTGAGACTGGGCGATAAAAAGTGTTTCATTGACCATCTTATTAGCTTAACTAGAACTTAAAATTTGTTTTGCTTCGTGTAGTTCTTTTCAGTTAATTGTAAAATAGGTTTTTGACGAGAGGACATTTTCACTTGGACGTTGCTAATTTTGTTTCACCAGTGGGAATCAAAGGTTGAGAGGAGCCAGGAAGAGTTTGAACGTATTTCGAGGTCGATTAAGAAGGAGATGGAAATGTTCGACTGCAACCGGGTAAAGGACTTCAAAGACTGCATCGTCAAGTATCTGGAGACTTTGATGGCCAACCAACAAAAGGTAGGTGGGACCGAACTTGGGAATCATATGGGTGGAGACTTCCAATTCGCGTCTAGCTAGACGCGTCTAAGTCTTAGACGCGTCTAGCTGGACGGCAGCTGCGTCTATCTGGCGACAGCTAACTTAAGACGCGTCTAGCTTGGAAGTCTCCGTCCAACAGTTACGACGCCAACCTAGCCGCCAACTTGGACGTCTGCTCAGTTATACGCCAGTTGGACGCCAGTGGAAGTCTCCACCCATTGTGTTATAAACATTTAAGTATCACACAGTGATGCATTTAAACAGCTGCAGCGTTATTTGCCCTTAGATAGTTAGCTGGCAACGGACATTTCTGCTGCTGTGGGACCTGCTGCCCTGACACCTCTCCCCCTCTTCCCAGCTGGTGAAACTCTGGGAGACCTTCCTGCCAGAGGCCAAGGCCATCGCGTGAACGCCCGGTGGCGCTGCGACCTCCATCAACTCTGGTCATTCCTCTGGGGTCGGTCAGCTCGGGTCGGTCGGATGAGGGGCGGACTGCGCGGCCGGCCGGTCCCTGTCCGCGCCGGACCCTCACTGCGCCGCTGAGCGCAGGGCGGCCGCACGCTGCGTCCCTCTGACTGTATATACAGGGGACGCCACTGACGGCGGCACAGAGCGCCCGCTGCCGCCAGACACACGCCGCGAGTCGCGCCTTGCCCCGCCGCAGCGACGAATGTATGTTTATGAATGTTAACCAGTTGTCAGGTGTTGGAACGACTATGCCCTACGAGCACATCTATTTGCGCGCGCGCGTGTGTGTATAGGTTCTTTTTGCTTTTGTACGGCTTTTCAGTTTGACTTGTCCTAGCCCTCGCCCGCACATGGGGGGGGGGGGGGTGGTTGCCACCCCCCCCCCCAGGTAGTCTTTCTGCTCTGCACTCAACATTTTTAGAGCTAGAAGGCTGATTTTTCGTATAGCTGCTCCTCTGTCCTTTCTTGATGTCCACTTAAAATTTCAAGTTTCTGTGGTTTTTGGTTTCGGAGATATGACCTTGTTTTTCAGGTCATGTCATGGCCCAAATGGCCAATTCTCAACATCTTGCGTTGGCTATGGGCCTTGTGAGCTTTTGACACCTTGATTTCGGCCTTTTTTGCCAGTCTTACCTCCCACCTATCATGGAACATGTTGTTCGACGATGTACAGATGTCAAGGTCAAGGTCAAGGTCAACCTAGGTCATCTAAGATAATTGCGTTTTAGGCTAGCGGAATTTACTTTTTGTGAATTTTTTTGACTGCATTTTTGGTAAAAGCTTCTCAGATCATGATTTCATGTAATATGGACACACAAACAATCGGTGTACACATCAGTATACGCACAGACACACACAGACATACAAACACATATAATTGACCTTGACCTAACTTGACCTGAAATGACCTCAGCAGCAAAAACCTGGTCGGGTAGTGTGACAAAGAGGTTCTAGCTGGCTTGGCACCAGAAAACGGCATCGTCATCGGTATATGACAAGCAGCGCACTTGATATCCAACGGTGACCCAAAACAGAACATTTTTTAGTTTGACCTGACCTGGAAGGTCAATGAGTGACCTGAGAAGGTAAAACTGGGTATCATTGGATTCGTCTCTTCCCAAAGAATCTTTTTGGTCTTTACCGCTAAGCTCTATCTCCAACAGGAACGAAATGGCGCGGGGGGGTGGCAACCACCCCCCCCCCCCCCATGTGCGTTCTAGGATGGAAATGGCATGTGCGGGCGAGGGCTAGTGGATGGCTTCAAGTCTATCACCTGCCAACGTCTAATGCCTATGGGAGGACCCACGTAGCCCGTTATGCTCTGTGATATGCATGAGGAGTGCACGGCAGTATTGGGGGACCGGCTCCCTCAGCCAGTCGATCCACTCTCTGTGCCTCCGTGGTAGCGAACTCTCGGCCTCCCCGACTGTATGCCTCAGCCTGTATCCAACCAAAAGGAAGTTGTTATGCGATACTGGAATCATGCGTTATCGAAAATACACTGCATCTCTGTACTGAAACGATTTTATTATATCGTAATGTTTTTCTTCTCTTTTTTCAATAATTTGATGGGAACAGCGTGAACATGAATAACTTTGAATGATTACTTTTTTAGTTTTCTGCCAGTGTTCGCCGTTAAATGGACTTCGAAGAAATTTTGGGATGGTTCAGCCTGTTCAGTCGAAACATCTTTTTTGGCTGTTTTTTTTTTTTTTTTACTAGATTTTACTTATGTCAACAAAACAATCGAATTTTGCATCGTTCGTTTGTTGTTTATTTTCGCAAGGTATACAGTTTCTCCGTCTTTCGGATACACCACATAATTTCAGTAGCACCCTGAATCGTCCGGTACCCTGCCCGCCAGCCCCTCCCTCGTCACTCTGCGCTGGTGTCCTCTGAGTCTGTCTGACATGTCGGCTGACTGGCCAACCAGGAGTGGCCGGGCAGCGCTGGCCACTTGGTAACACGAGACGGCGGCTATTCCTGTCGCCCGGGGCGACGGCACCGGCCGACGACACTCCGCACAGACCGGCCGACGGACCGACGACGTACCGCACCGACACACGGCGCTGACAGACCAGCGGGAGAACACAGGGCCGACGGGCCGACAGACCAACGGGAGAACGCAGAGCCGACGGACCGACCGACAGCGTATGGGTGTTACTGCTCCTGTGGGCTACCCACGACTCCACCGACCGTAACACAAGGGAGACACGAGGCATAGGTACTAAAAGCGACGGAGTGTAATGCGGGTTATAACTTTTATCTGACTGAAGGTGGTGTAAAGTAGATCATCTCCATGGGAGGGGGCAGATAAGGGGACTTACGATGGGGACAGAATGATGGAGCTTACGACCCCATCATTCGATACTGGATTGAATCACATTCACATCGACCCCTCTTCGTCACGATCTCGACACCTCTCCAGTGCCTTCGTCGAGACACATTCGGTGTTGGTGTTGGCAGCCGTCTACTCCAGTCATCTCCAAAGCCGCGGGGAGCCGCCAGTCGACTTTTTCCTATGACGAGTCGTTAGCAGTGGCACAGCTGGACTGAACACACAGCCCGCCAGCTCACTCCTTTGTATCATATATGATATGAAATCATCGAGAGAAATGAGACGGGCGGCTTTAAAAAGGAAGATCTTGAAAAGTGCTGCCACTCCAGCTATCGAGATTATTTCAAATCGTGCTTATTTTTGTTAGCGTTCGACTTACTTGCGGCAGAGGCGAATTATCGGGCGGGGCCTGATCGCCACGGTTCGCGAGGACCTCATCGAAATGCTTAACCCGGACAGAACAAACCTGCGGACCACGTCATCCACGGTGTGGAAGTGGATGCCTGGATACATAACGCTATGTCACTATCCTGTCCATGTCTCGCTTTCTGAATAATCATAATGACGCTAACGTATCGGACACGCTGACACTGATCCTACGACCCGGCCTGAGACGTAAATTCCCCCTAATCACGGACCCATGTCATCTGAAGCGCCGGACGCGTGCTCGTGCCGAAGCTGGGAGCGCCGGTGACAGGCGGGCCGGTCCTCCTGCCGGCTGGCCGCCCTCCAGCGGCAGCAGCCGGGCTAACTGTCGCCGCCCGCCTCCAAATCAAACAGGGATGACGCCGGCGGCGACCCGGCCATCCGCCGTGTCACCTGTCGCTGACCCCTGACCTTTACAGAGCTCAGGGTGACCGCTGCCCAGTCGGAGGTCAAACACCCGGGAAGGTGTCTGATAATCATCGGTGTCTAACACTGTCTGAGTGATGTTCCTTTCACTCGGAAGTTAGTTCAATTAAGAAGTTAATAATTTTCAGATCAGAATGTTTTGAATTTGATATTTTATGTATAATTATTTTTACAGAGACCAGGATTGCACTTGAAAATCAACGAAATATATTGCAACATTCCCCCAAAACATTTACTTTGCCTGCCGAATGCCTCTCACTGGAGTTCGGTATCACCACCGGTCACGTGACCGGACTAGGTCGCCGCGGGCGGTCCCCATCACCCCCCCCCCTCTGGAGGAAGGGGGGCTCACGCGCTGACTGAGTGGCCGATCAGCGGACGCGCCGTGTTTGTGCTGGCGCACCGCGCCGCTCCTCATCTCATCTGTCATTGTGTCGCGAGCCGGCAGCAGCTCAAGCCGCTGAGCGCCGACTCACTGGGACTGGGACTGGGAAAGCCCATAGGAGCAGCAGCTCCAACCGCTGAGCGCCGACTCACTGGGACTGGGACTGGGATAAACCATAGGAGCAGCAGATCAAACCGCTGAGCGCCGACTCACTGGGACTGGGACTGGGATAGCCCATAGGAGCAGCAGCTCCAACCGCTGAGCGCCGACTCACTGGGACTGGGACTGGGATAGCCCATAGGAGCAGCAGCTCCAACCGCTGAGCGCCGACTCACTGGGAATGGTTGCCGTCAGTGGACTCACTGGGACTGGGATAACCCATAGGAGCAGCAGCCAGCTTGTGTGCGCTGCCGTATGCGGACTCACTCGGACTGCAGGATACGGGATAATCCAAAGAAGCAGCAGCTCAAACCGCTGAGGGCTGCCGTCGGTGGACTCAGTGGGACTGAAGGATCAGGGATAACCCAAAGAAGCAGCAGTTAATCCCACTGAGCACTGCTGTCTGCGGACGGACAGGATTTCGGGGCAGACCACGGAGCAGTGGCTCCGGGGAAGCTCACATGAGCAGTGGCTCAAACAGCATAGTTATATTCTTAAGCATGAAAGACCAAATTCATAGCACGCTATAGAGTTGGGGGGGGGGGGGCAGGTGTCAACCGTCACCGCCTGAAGTCTGCGGCGGCGGCGGTGGCAGTGGCGACGGGCGGTGAAGGCGGTGAGTGTCGCCGGTATTTGGGGCACGCCCAGGCTCGGCGCCACCCAACTGTGTGACAGTCGAACCAAAGACAGAAACCACCCAACGTCTAATGGCGACTCGTTGAGAAAGATGTGAGAAGGACTGCTAGCATCAGCATTGAGCATATGGCACAACCAACGGGAACAACCCCAAATTTATTCATTTTTGCACGCATTAAACGCGCGCTGAAATGAAACGCTACTGAAATGAGAGACCTATCCAATATTCATGGCACCTCACACTTTCATCCATTAATATATTTATGTTGTCATATAAAGCAAAGGTCATATGAAAGCGTGAACATATAAAAGGAGGTATGGTCAAAAGCCAGCAGTCAAATTCCGACCATGAATGCTTTGTGACTACGTAGTACATATCTTACCAATTTCTCCGAAAATAAGCTCAGTTCATTTGACCATTGTCAAGAATTTCTGCTAAAAATACACGAAAAAGTCGCCAGCCTAAGATAGCGCTATGCTTGTAACAACAGCATCATGCCAGCAGCGCCGGATAAAAATAAGCGTCGCGACATCCAGTGTCACAGAAACGCTCTAGCCCTGTCTTATGTGACACCTGATGGTGCTGCAAACCAGGCCTGCCAACTACCGGACACGATCACCCCAGTTACCGAATGTCTGCAAACATCCCACCCACACACCACAGGGACCGAGGTAACGACGTCATCTCATTCCTCATCATCTGAGTCGCCGCGTCAGTCGGTCAGGGATGATCCGTCAGCCCCCAGTCCCTCCGCCAGAGGACCTCTCCGCGAGTATGGCATTTGGACGCACGCGGGTGCCAACATACCTGTGACAGGGCCAGAGACATTCAGAAATAGGCGTGCGAGACGCCGCCACCGCCGCTGTCGAGGCCGGAGCCGGGGCCGGGGTTGGGGCTCGACGGAGCCCAGTGGACCAGGTGGGCCGTTCTGTATATCGGAGCGAGGTGACACCAAAGGCGCCGCCGAAGCCTGGCCGCCGGCTGGAGCCATACGGCCTCCACCTGGCTGAGCTGAGTGGGCTGATCACTGCGGTGATGGGTCGTAGGTCACCCACTGCTTGTGCTAACCTCTGTCGGGGAGATGGGTGGGGAGAGGGAGGGTGGGGTAAGGTAAACGAATCATCGACCCTCCTCCTTTGAACCGAGGTGCTACTACGTGCGAGAATACAAACTTCCGATATACATACATAGAGTGGAGAAGAAACTCGTTACAAAAGATGTGACTGCGAATTTCCAGTCGCCATCAAACCGTTTAGAGATAACAGTGGCTGTATTATCGTACTCGAACCATCAAAATATTCGTGTGCGGAATACGCGATTAATATTCCTTATAAAGCTGCAATCTACCTTTTTATTTTCCGCTGGCATGCCGTTTTCTGAATGGGTTTCGGCACCTGACCGTTAGCTGTTTGGACTCTGTCGGCGCGCGGCCAGCCATATATCAAGGAGCGTGGTGTGTGACCAGCGGGGATCTGTTGGTTCTGGCTGCAATTATAGACTGGGCGCGGCAGGCTGCGACACTTTCAGCAAATATTTCATTGTATTATATATTGCAGGCCTTTTAGAAACTCGAGCTGTTTGTAAACGGTCTGTCTGGGTCCTTGTCGTTTACAAATGACCTTATTTTCAAAACGGCTAACGGAATGTGTACGAATTACAATAGCCCTTAAGTAAACAAATCACTTATCACTAACAATAATATCCGTGTCAATTCATCATTATTTTATGCATTAACATTGCCCTTAAAGTCTAAAGTCAATTGTTGGTAATCATTTTTGTTTTGTTTTTGTCGGGTTGTTGCTGGTCACCACATTGCTATAAAATGGTTTATATTGTGTATTTTGTAGAGGGAGCCGAGAGCACTAGCAATGCAAGGGGATATGGGGCAATTGCTCACGCAGCGCCGGAAATCGATTAAATTTTATCGTTCTTTTTTTAGAAAAGAAAGAAAGGTACTAAGTAAACATCTACTGTGAATAGAAGCTTGCTTGAAACTGCACAGCAGTGCATAAGGAATCGAAATCCGAGCAGTAGCGCGGAACACGTTCAATTAAGGGGGGTGGGGTACTGCCGACTTTTGGTCCCATTCTTTCTATGCAACGCCCATAGGGCTAATGTTAAAATGCCAAAATCAAAGGGAGGCACGGTGCCCCGGTGCCCTCCCCGTTCCACCGTCTGCGAATCCGAGGAGTTTTTTTTTTTTTGTTTTGGAGATTTTTTTCGGGGTATGCGCTCCGCAGCGTCGAAGGCAGCATTTTTGGATCCGCCTATGGCCAAGCGGAGAGAGACTTCATAAACTACAAGAAACTGAACATGTGCCGTAAGAAAGTTACATGACTGTATTTTGTCCTCATTTTATTTTGCTAGCTTTCAGTAATCGGTTAAATAATGACAAGAGATTGAGCGACCAGCGTGCGCCAGGCCAACACCGGTAGCTCTGATTCCTTCCGCCAGATGGCACTAGTAGTCGGCGCCTGAAGTTATGCTGTGCCGCAAGGCCTGTACTGGGCGTTGCGGCACAGCTTAACGTCAGGCGTCAACGAACCCAAGGCGTTGTTTGATTATTTCGCCCTCACTGGTAGTTTACGTGCACACATTAGCGATTGGTGCCGCTGAATGGGACTGTCATTTGGCCGATTTCTCTCACATCACGGCGGGCCGTCGACTATGTTGTTGTTGGGGATCAGACCCCGCGTCGACCCGGCACCCGGAGCTCAGGGGGCTGAGCACCGCGGGACAAACGCCTGTGTCAATGTTTGGACAATGTTCTGCGCGGGGTGGCTGACAGCCGTTGCTTGCTGTGACTTGGGACTGTGTGTTTTGTAGTAACCTCAAGTGTGTTTGGCGGTGTTAAACGTGTTGATGTACTCACTACTCTGTTTATTGTAGCGTGAGGGTGAAAAAGTGCGGTATAGGACCGGGGCAAGAGTACGGGTAGAAGAGGTAACAGTGTTCACTGGTTATCATCGAAGATGTAGGTAAAGGTAAGCTTGGGAACGAGGATGATTAAGGACACTATATCAAGGAAATTGTGAAAATTGAGATAATTGAGATTTAATATTGAAAAGTTTTCGCTTGGTCATGCTTGGTTTTACACTCCCAGTATTTTAAAGGTTTAAGTAGGTTTATCATGATGTGGTAATGCGGCCTTCACATGAAAAATTGCATGTTCTTGATTCAAATGACATGATTGGAACTTCTGCCAAGCGAAATTCTAGATCCCATGGTTTCCAAATTGGCATCTAGCCTGGAACCGTTCCACGAGATGCCTCACCACGTGAAACTGAAGAATTCATTTATTCATTCATTTATTTGCCACGACCGTCGACGGAAGCTTTAAGTCAGAGACGAAACCTGAGTGTTGGGAAAAATCGTGCTTTATTTTTCGCCGTTGGAAGTGAATGTACGACCTATAATTCTCATTTTCGAATAAAACGTACATAAACATAAAATGTATAAATAAACATTTCATTGCGTAATACTTTTCCAACACGTTCGAGTCAGACCTTTTCATTGTCTTTGACACAACACTTGGACCATGACCCGTTTGGCCTGGCGCGCCCTGACCGTACAGCGCCCTCCCCTCCCTCTGACGGTCGGAGGGCCGGTGGAGGGCCGGTGGAGGGCCGCCGCACAGTGGGCCAGGCGCATCAAAAAAGCGGAATTAAGTCGAAAATCAACTTCGGTGAAATTCCTGTAATTATGGGATAGAGTATTGTAAAAATGTCCAAAGTTTCCGAATAAGCAAGTTTGCTTTCCCCAATGTCAAGGCAGATAATGCTATAACGTCGCAAAGTAGGACTTACCGACTGGAGATGGAAAGGACTGCTGTGTACCATATTCCGTTCCCCCGATTCAAAAGCCCTCAGCGTAAAATCATTAAAGTTATTCCGTACAAAATAGCTTTAAAAAAACAGCCGGTATTTCTGCGCATGTTTCTCGTACTCAAGTTCCCGGGAACTATTTCATGCTTACTAGTAGCGGTGGGGTTTACAGAGCCTGTTCGGAACCGTGGTAGTGCAACGACGCAATGAATTTATATAAGGATATAAAGAAAACGGCACCGAACAACACGAAGATATTTGCTGCCTGACTTTCCTCAAGGTGTATAGCTTGCTGCCCAATGCAAATATTTTGCGCATTTTTGCGCGAAATGGACAAATAAGGGTTTAACCCTCGCCGGCATAGGCCGTTTTGCATCCCTCGACGGCACAGGGGGATGCGACCCTCCTCGCGTTTGGCCCCTAATTGAGCTAGAGCCTCGCGGAAAAAACCATCGTGTAGGTCGTCACGAGACAAAGCCAACGGTACCCGGTTTTAAGGTCATAGGTCAAATGGTGACCTCTGAGGTCAGGTCAATGGCCGAAAGTCGGGACCTGTTAGAACGTCGTATAGTGTGGCTGCTAAGGGGTTTTTCGGGATGCTGATCACGAATATCATGTTAGTTTTGATCACAGATGATGTCTTCATGCATTTAGGCCAGGTCGGGTCAGCTCAGGTCAGGTCAACCAGTATGGGTCCTGCCGGGTATTCGTAGTAGGTGTCAACCCGCCTCTGACAGCTTCGTAACATGTTACGAAGGCACCAAAACTACTTCGTAAATGTTCAAATGGTTCCTAAATTCGAATTCAGCTCCAAAAACTAGCCCAGAAACATGTAAAACTCGAAAAAGTGAACCGAGGTCATCGAAGGTCAATGACCTGACCTGACCTTCAGGTGACCTATACACCCACCCTAATGCATGGGACCAACATCATATCACATGTTTGAACGCTTGAAACCACGAAAAGACTACAAACGCGCGGCCAATGCGGCATAGTGCCCGCCTGTCCCAGGCATATGTGCAGCGCAGAAATTAAATAATGACGTCATAGGTCAGTGACCTAGCGTAACCAATCAAATTTGAAAATGGATATCGGATTCGGCTTTAGCATGATATTCTACCCTATAACGAATCATTTTTGGCACCGCAGCTGTGCTCATTGATTTAATTCCGCTTTTTTGAAGAGCCTGGCCCACTGTGCGCCGGCGGTGTCGCGCGCCGCCCGCCGCCGGGTGACGCTGGCACAGCCGTCAGCGCGGCTATGTTTGGTCGCTGGCGGCCGGCCAGGCGGCGGCGCCGTCCGGTGCCCGGGCGGGGTGCCGCAGTCCGCGGCCCGGGTGCCCCCGTACCACCGCACCGCGACTCGGCTGGCTGATCTCTCGGAGAGCCCGTAAGTTGAAGTGAACCGCCGCCGCCGGACGCGCCGAGCTACGAGCTCAGCTACGAGCCCGTCAGCCCCGCGCCGCGAGCTCACTTAGCCCGAGGTGTTTGTGCTCCAGGTTTTAGTGTTGGTTTGATGGGTTATGAGAATCACGGTCAGTTGCGAACGGTGAATAGACAGGTTCAGGCTCCGTGGACGTGTGATTACCAGTGACGAGACTGCCAAGGAGTCACCATATCGTAAATCGACCTGCTGAACAGATAAATATTGTTGAACGGTCCTCTACATACATTTGAAATTGCATTGGTGTGAACGTAACCCAAAGAATTTGCTGCTTCTTATAAAACACATTAAACTTTTTCGTAAATTTTAAAGTGATTTTGAAAAAGACAAATAAAAATGAAGAAAATTGGGTGCATAACTTCTTTTCTGCGACAGTCGATTATCAAATGCATATAATTCACTTAATTTGTACAGAGTACATGCAAGCTTTTCTCGCTGCGTCACAGTATGGTAAATGGTATATTTAAGTAGTTTCGTATTTCCGGGAGACACAAATTAGCGAAAATTTATTTGGATATTTTGCGCATGATTATAGTTTACGGCCGTCATTAACAACTATGCGCTTATAGACAAATAATTCCTTTGGGCGATAAAATACAAATAAATAAGTAAGTGCTAACCCTTTCCACGGCAGCCATCTGGTACATATTTGGTTCACATTTGGTGCAAATTTGGTGCAATTTTGGTCAAATAAGGTTCCTTGTGTTTCTTAAGTTATCAGATTGGGTTGCTCAGTCGCTTATATATTTGGTTTTCCAAATCATCAGACATTGTTTTCAAGTAAAACACTGAAAAATTCATTACATTAAGACATTTGTTGAAAAGAGATTTGGTGCAGATTTGGTGAGGCTTGGTGCATTCGCTAGATAACCCGTCGTGAAAACGGCTATTGTGTAACCAGTGCGTGTAAAGCCAATTCAACTCATGGCTAAATGCAAGACATAATGATGACAATCCATCATGTCCAAAATAGTTAGTTGGGAAAGTTCCAAACTGTTCGCTTTTGTTGGCAACGTTTTGAAGAGCTGGACGGTTGAGGGACTTGGCCTGGGATTTATATCCAGTGAAGACCAACTGAGGCTTTTGTGCTGTCACATACATCGTCATTTTGATGGGGCGGATCGGCGGCCCCGAGATCTCTTGGCGAACTGACCCACACAAGAATTATTTTTTAGCTGAAATGTTTAATCACTTGAAAAAAGTCTTGCCGTTTCACAATAGCATACTAGCGATCTCTTTTCAACGGAAACTGGTTTATATGTGATTTCTTTTGCTTTCTCAGCAAAGTGTGTGCGATCAACCAAACAGAGCTCTTGGATTCATGCACTTATGCAAATAGCATTGGGTCTTCTAATTTGTGTCTTTTATTCCAGGTAACTAAAACACACCAAAATGTCGGACGAAGAATACTCGTAAGTATCCACGACCTTTTGCTTTTACCTACTTATAACCGCGTGCATATTCTAACGCGATATTTATGGTGACTCTCGTTGGCATCAAATAATTAAATGGCTCTTTTTCTCAAGCACTCTCTCGTGGAAATAACTCGTGAAAGTAACCGTCTCATGTAGTTCACATTTCAAGGTTTAGAAGATCCTGCTATGCTATTGTCCACCTGTGCTTTCAGAATCTAATTTTGTTCATCACTTTGAGAAGAATAATACGCTTGCACGTATTTCACCGGCGTTTCATCCCCGTCTGTTTCAGATCTGAGGAGGAGGTGTAAGTATCCACTCCAGAGGGGGTGTAACTCCCCTCCGGAGAGTCGGCCGGGTGTAAATCTACCCTGGGTAACCCTCAGCGGGTAACCTTCCGCGGCCCTCCGCCGAGACCGTGCCTATGGCCCTGTAGGTCACTGTAGCTTGCCACCGGACGCATTGTATGTTGGTCACTTTAGGTGGCCGCTGACACCGCGCCCGACCCGACAGTGCAGTCGATGGGAGGCCCGGCCAAGGGCGCGATCCTAGCGTAGAGTATCCATGGAAGTGTGCAGCAGATCGGATTGATTTCTTGCAGTGGAGGATAGCCAACGCCCCTCAGCTAGGGGAGCTGTAGTAGTGCCTTCCCACGACCGTACTGGCCCTCAGAACCAGAGTCCTTCCTCAATGTCGTCCTGTAAATATTCATAAAGAGAAGTCCTACTATTGAATCCTTAATTTAATTATTCTTATCATCTTAAACCTTTGAAGCAGTTTCAAACTTCAATGCCACCGTACTGCACAAACTTCATTAGGAACGACTTAGGTACAAGTTTTTGAAAAATCACAATCGAAAGCCCTTCTACGTCACCTTTCAAAACAGAACAAGTCATAGAAATAAAGACAATCATATCTGTTGCATCCACGCCTCATTTTCCTACTTCTCCATCCCACCTCCACCCCGTAGATGTCAGTGACTCTGGTGGCTGATTGGCCCTCTGACATCTCTCGGGACAGAGTTGGACTGACCCCGCGCTGTGTTTGCCCGTGTATTTAGCAGCGAGGAGGAGGAGGAGGAGGAGGTCCCAGAGGCCAAGGAAGAAGAGTAAGTATACTCCAGCAGTCAGCATACTTAGAGAATGCGTCCGTGTGCCAGTCCCGCACTGCACCGTCAACCGCGGTAGCGCTAGCTGCTTCTAATGTCGTCACATGACGCGTAGTGAAATTCATAAAAACATATTCTGTTCATGCATTTGAGTCACAAAACAGTCGTGTGCAAGAAAGCAGGCAAACCATTAAACGCTGACATTGATTACATAATCTAAGTAATATTAGAATTTAGAACGTTCAATTATCCAGCAAATAAATCATAAGACATTCCCATACACCTCAGATCACCCAACAGAAATAACACAATTCATAGCACAGACACTATGTAAACACTACCATATAAATAGCTTTAAACCGTTCATATTAGTCTATATTCTAGACAAGTTCTTAGCGCTGCCTCACCTTGATGATGTATGCAGATCCAAAGCCGCAATCTCAACGTAATCTACATAAAAAATGCATGGGAAATAGATGAAAACTACACGCTCACAAAATGCCACAGCGATTACAGTATTGTAAAACGGTGTAAATGCTAAAAAGTGCTTGCGTACTATGACTAAAAAGTGACGCCAGCCTAACAAAATTTGCCCATATACCACTGCCTATAACTTTTCAACATGCAAAATTTTCTTTAGAGAATGCTGAGCTTATCACTTACTTAGCTTTCTGTCCAGTTGTTTTATCATTTTATTAAAATACGCCTATTTCAATGCACCCAATTGCTTCACCATATTTCTAGTGATCACAAGTTTTGTGATCAAAGCTTGGAAGCTGCATAGACTGAACTAACACGAGAGGCGCTACTGCTTGGACCTTAGAACTTATACAGACACCGTTAGAGACCCATTGAATAGCATTAGAATAGATCGCCCTCCCTTATAGAGTGTCCAAGTAGTGACGTTTACCCCATCTATTCACAGGGCACCGGCGCAAAAGTAAGTTAGCCTCAGCTGATTCTTGAGTTACATACAGCTGACTCTCTGTGTGTCGTTTGCTGTTTTACAACTGACACAGTTTTGTTCTCATCAAAAACACTTCTTAATTAATCGCAACTGTTTTTCGAGTATGAGGCAGAATGAATTTTATTTACACGTACATACATTGCATTCAGCTATATTTGATTTATGGTCGTTCGGTGTGCGTTGAATTGTCTGCTCAAATATTTATTTGTATGTAAACGTATTATATTACTTTATTATATGGAATTAATAACACAGTGCGTGGGGTGTTTCGCCCATTGGCGGATCCAGTAGGTACGGATTTTGCCTCTTCCAAAACTGCTGCTTTTCAAAAATGCGTCCATTGCAGTGCATGACGCAACTTTGCCGGATGTATACTTTATAATCTACCGGTCGGATCCGCCAGTGCGTTCGCCTATTAAAAACTCCGATTGTTCTTCTTCTTGTTCTCCGCAGTGCGGTTGCTGCCTTGCTTTGCCAATGGCTGTCCTATGATTCTTTCGCTGTTTGATCTGGCACTAATTTCACCTGGGTCACAATTGATGAGACACTCTCGTCTTTTTCCGGTATTTCATCAGTTGGACGCCCACTTTTGGCGATTTTTGGCGCGTTTCGATGTTGGCTTTTGAGGAACATATGCACAATAATGTCACAGTGAGGATACGCTAAGCTCCATTTTAAACATCAGTATGAATAAAATCGTCTCCAATTTTCTTTGCCGTCATCAGGGTACGGTGATAAAAATTGATATGTTTTATCGTTGTGTGAATATATTGCATGACTACTCAGCGTACAATTTTCCAATTTTACCGTTCATGTTTCACTTTCAGGCAGGAAGAGAAGAAGGAGAACATTTTCACGGTGAGCATAACAACCCATATTATACATAGCGTCATCGCTTAGATTTCATAATACTGCACGTTGCTTAACTTCAGACGCTTCCGTCAAATTATCTATCATGACATCCCCCATCCCATAGTTCGGCTGAAACCCGGGCCACCCTGCTGACATAATCCACCGTTTGACCTTGCAGCAGCGGCAGGAGAAGAAGAACACAGAGCTCGACGAGCAGCTGAAGGAGTACATCGCGGAATGGCGCAAACAGAGGGCCAAGGAGGAGGAGGAGCTCAACAAGCTCAAGGAGAAGCAGGCCAAGCGCAAGGTGAGCCTGGTCGCTGCGGTGGTGTGAGTCTTAATCATGTAGCGACTAGTGACACGATTTAAGGCGCCGAAGAGCGGTTGTTCGTTTACTTGATAACGGATAGGTATGACTTGATCCCATGCGATTGATTTCCTAAAGCGCAATTTATAAACACAAGGCGTATGGCATTATCAAGCTCACATTTTGATGTAGGCAGCATTGCCGCGCCACCACCAGTAGTTACATGCACTCCTAGACGTGTAACACGCCATTGTGTACGGACATTGCCAGGTCCTGCGCGCCGAGGAGGAGAAGCGCCTGGCCGAGGCCAAGAAGGCCGAGGATGAGCGCCGCTACCGCGAGGAGCAGGAGAAGAAACAGCGCGAGCAGGAGGAGAAGAAGCGCCGGCTGGAGGAGGCCGAGAAGAAGAGGCAGGCGCTGGCCCAGGCGCAGAAGGCCGCCGCCGGAGGAAAGGCCAACTTCAAGGTCGGCAAGAAGGACGATAAGGTGAGTTAAAAGGTCACGGACTGGTGGCAGAACTTAGCGTTTGACGGGATAGCCCAGGCTGTGTGAATCGGATGTGAAATTCAAGGGGAGCCGCATCATTATTTTGTCGACATTCAAACGCACAAAAATCAACGATTCGGCTGTTCTTGCTTTATCGGAGCTCTGCCTTTGCTTACTTTGGCGTCAGTTGCATGGTAGCTTTCCAACCACAATTTGTTATGTGTGTGTGATAAATAAATCACAAACAACGATCCGACACGAATCATCTCGTGTTTTCAGCTGTCCAACATCCAGGCTGCCAAGAACGAGATCAGCAAGACCAAGGAGCAGCTGGCAGAGGAGAAGAAGATTGCCCTCAGCATTCGCATCCAGCCTCTCAAAGTCGATGTAAGTGCTCCACATCACACTCTTGACTTTTTATTGATTTACCTACATGACATTTTGACACCGCCCAAGATGCTGAGATGCTGACACTGTGAATGCTGGTTCACTGACTCGTCTTATCCTATTTCCGTGAAGGGTCTCGGTCTCGAGGCGCTGAAGAAGAAGGCGGAGGACATGTGGAACCAGATCGTGAAGCTGGAGACGGAGAAGTACGACCTGGAGGAGCGCCAGAAGAGGCAGGACTACGACGTACGTATAGCCGCCGGCGGAGATGACACAGAGCTCGCTGCTCTATATGGCTTTGACGTTCATTGGGATATTCAAATAATGATAATTGATTATTGATAGAAAATTACATTCCAATTGTTTTTTTTTTTCAATGGGTCCTTTGCCGATAAAAAGCTTAATCTTGTAAGCGCTCTGGGGCTATTTTGCCGTTTATTTTGTAAAGGACAATGATCTAGACACACATATCCAGCTCGTCCTACTGATACCTATGCATCTTTCTATCAACGTAATCGATGCTAGTTAGGCGGCCAAATGGAAATGTGAGTGTATGAATGTCGTGTCATGCTGTCTCTTGTTTACATTTACAAGGCTGGGTGTTTGTAAGGGTTCCTTCAGGTGGGTACATTCGCCAACCACACCATTTCGCATTACATTTTCATTAAATGTAACGTATTACTTTACAGAACGCCAAGCACACGTGTACATTGCAACCCGAAACAAGCTTACAATAGCTTTCATCGTAAATCTCTTCCTCCCATACAATTAACCATTCATATTTAGTTTTGAAAAATCAATTTAATTCATATTTCAATGATTGTTTCATATTGTTACACGAACAATCATTCGTCACAACACATTGTGCTGTTCACTTACGTTTATTTAAATCTTCTCAAATAACATTTTAGCTCTACCTGAATCATTGCAGCTGAAAGAGCTCAAAGAGAGGCAGAGACAACAGAACAAACAGAAAGCCATTAAATTGGGTTTGGATCCTGAGTAAGCAGCCCATATGATCTATATCGCACGCGCGCTTGGCGTCTAGACGGTAGAGCGGTTCGGGGGATATGCCCAGGCTTCAGCTACGCTGCTCCCGTACCCGGAGTGACACACATGTAGAACAATCGTGTATTTCGCAGAGCCGACCAGTCGTGCTTTCAGTATTCAGTGCGTGTTTTGTGTGACATTAGACCAAAATAGTTAATGCTGATTTAGAAGTGGATTTCGGTACACATGTCTATAAAACTTGAAAATTGCTGGTGCATGTTGGGTGCACTTGAGCGCCTCGTTGGTCACAACTCACAATGGTGGCCAGAGCGGTCTGTCAGACCAGACCCGGGCAGCGCTGCTGTCAGACCAGACCAAATTTCCGGGCAGAGCAGCCGCGCGGAAGCCTGCGCCGCCCCCGGCCGCCTCCGGTTGTCTTCAGTGTTAGCTTGTGAAACAGTGGGAGGTGTGGCACTCGCTCCCACTGCGTCTCTGACAGGAGACTGCGGTAGTGCGGTGTGCTACCGGGGGGCTCGGCAATCCACCGAATGTGGCCGTGGTCGCGCTGGGGCCGCGGGAACAGGGCCGGCGCCTTCGTAGGCGCGGCCACCATGTATGCTAGGCTGTCTGCGCTAGACTGTCGTGTGCCAAGCGGTAGACACTATTGCAGTGTTTCTGTTCTGTAGCTTAAAGAGCTCAAAGAGCGACAAAAGCAGCAGCTGCGACACAAAGCCCTTAAGAAGGGGCTCGATCCCGAGTAAGTCCTCTCGGCCGATCGGCACGCATTGGTTCTGCGTCACAGCCGGAGTAACTAGACCAGTAGACACCCTTTTAAATTCAGTTCATTTTGGTTGGCACGATTCTCATCACCCTTGACATGCAGTGGGGTCGGCTGCGCCTAGCTACTGAAATTTTGTTTTTAGTTTACGCCAGTTTTATTTCTTTTGGACGATTGATTTGTCCTTGGTCTCGTTTGTCCTTGGAACCGGCTGTTTCTCACTCCATCTTTTATTTTCTAATATTCGAAAGAATAATGTGCTCACAAAATAATCAGTCTGAAGGCATGCTACCCTTGCAGATATTTAGTGAGCTACAAAGCCAGGAAGTTGCCAGCTGACTTGTTGGATAGTAGAGAAGCCCATTGACACCACAAAACCGCAACGGGAGGCATGTGGTTTAGTTGACTGACTAAAGAAACGCAGCTGCTCACATCAGTGTAGAGTTTAGAGTTATCATAGTGGTTTGTCTCCCCGTCTTAGCGGTAGTACAGTGCCGTAACCTCTGTCCAGTGAGTCGGAATGCAACTAAGTGTAGCTCCCCGTGCAGTCCATTCTTATATAGCGTTAGTGCATGGTGTTTTGCATCTGGGAAGGGCCGTCCGCCTAACCCACCCTGCCCGTCTCGTCCATCCCTAGCTGTGACAAGACAGCGAGTGGGAGCACACTCGTCCTCCGTGCGTCTTAGAGGTGGGCACATGGTTCTGCCGGCCTCCAGTGAGTACCCGTACTCTGTGCGCCATCGGCACATTTTGAACTCATCAATCAATAGTGTTCAGCGTCTACTTCGCAAAAAACTTCTTCGTATTAGAAACGTTGTTTGCCACACATGGTTATAATTCATAGGATTTCAGATATAGAGGGTTCTTGTTCGAAATATAGCTCAAATATCGAGCTAGTACATCTTTGGACGATTTTATAATTGTTTATGAATGTTTTAAACAAATAAAGAATGTACAAAGCCGTCACTCAGCATGCAAAAAGTACGGTGCAATGCGTGCTCGAATCTACCAGGCCGATTTGTTTTGGAAATGGTGACTGACACATCGAACATTTTCGCAGGGCCCTGACCGGCAAGCACCCGGTAAGTTATTTTCACTTTTCCTATGTGTTTGACGTATTTAAACATCAGCTGTTTTCCAGGAATTATATTTGTGGGCGTGATTGCCCGGCATAACTAAGATCATAGACCTCGAGTTAGCCTATCATTCCTATTATTCTAAGCCTATCATTTTAATATTACCACTGGATAAATCATCTTTGCTGTTTTGAATGTGTCGGGCCATGGGTATCAATTCGAGTAGGATTAGCCCAACAAAACTATTTTAGATGATTGAATTTTTAAACTGTGTAAATAATCCGATTGGGTGCCATGTCGTGTACTTTACTTATCTTTAACACGTTATCTTGCTTAAATTGATGAAGGTAAACTAATATAGAAAGACAATTCATTTAAGCCATCCCACACATTCCGACATTGTTTAGAGACACGTGTTCGTGGACGTTTCAGCCCAAAGTGCGTTTGGCGTCCAAGTTTGAGCGGCAGGTTGATAGGCGCACATTCTCCGAGAAAACCCATCTGTTCGATGGTGTGAGTGGAGTTACCGGAAGGCGTTTGTGCTGGAGTAGCCGTACACCCTTTGCAGAAGTCGTAGGCAGCGGTTCGTGAGTGTAGTCGCAGTTCAGAACCGCACGGATCGCAGTGAGGAGCAGTCAGTAGTCCGGGTGGTAGCTAGGAGTCTATCGCGCCCGGTAGTCGGCGGGAGTCTATCGTTCCAGGGTAGGTAGTCGTTAGGGGTCGTCAGGCCAGCATGCTGACTGGCAGTGTGGTGCTGTGTTCTAGCCCAAGATCCGAGTGGCGTCCAAGTTTGAGAGGACCATCGACCATCGCTCGTATGGCGATAAGATGAACCTCTTCAACGGCGTAAGTTGGCGCCAGGCTCGTGCATCTCTATCCAATATGCTTACGGCATATTTATCGGACACTAAATGTTCGACATTTGCAAACAGCTTTATTTCTATACTACGAACGGTTTCCTTGTTATATTTATTTACTGCGTTACATTTATTAGTGGTATTTAATAAGCAGTTTTGGTACAGCTAATCATGTGGAAACTAGCATGCATTTCCCTCGAGGTTTGCTTTGCTTGAAAGCAATGATGTTGTTAATGCTGTTCAATGTATCAATTTTATTGTGCCTAAAACATATACAAGTCCACCTAGAAAAGCTTATAATTAAATCCATTACTTACTTGAAACTGTTTTTTTTATTAAAGTAATATTTTTGAGGTCAGCCTTCTAAATATGATACATGCGTACACTTGAGTCTGTGCGCCGTGGTCCTCGTCGAGACTTTGCGTCTTTTTTGTGACATGTATGAACTAACTACTTGTAATGATGTCCAGTCGCTTGGTTTTCGGTGTAAAGCTTAGATGTGACTGCATGATATCACTGCTTAAGCACTGTGACTGTCATGTTTTATTTCATATATTCATAGTGCACTAACACATAGGTATAGAAGACATTTAAGCATAAAGAAACGCACCTATACCTACCATAAGTAAATGCACGGACTAAGTAAACCGATGTTATTGGTACCTATACCTTCATACTAATGAATGAATTCCTCGGATATTTTCATGATACAACTCCAAAATGCTATTTATCGAGTCCAAGGTTTGCTCCAGCGATACGGGTTTGATCAAGATAGCGCATATCTATGCACATTGACTGATTTTGCTTGACAAACACGCATATGCTTCGTGTCTCTAAAAACACCGCGCTCTTTGCGAAGGCCTGACGTGTCTAACACCTGTCTAAAATTGCCGTGGATTTCTTGAGACGCTTCGTAAGTGGTTCCGCGACCGGACTGACGGGCGGATGACACTAGCAACGTGTCGACAGGGCTGGACTGTGTTGTTCTCCGAGCAGAACGATAAGCTCTGGGAGGAAAAGGCTGACGAATGGGGCAAGCGTCCCAAGAGTGAGTGTCCTCTGTCGGACCGGTCCGGCGGGCCGCCACCGCATGAGGCCGCCGCCGGACCGGTCGCCCATAGGTGGACAACACTGTAGCGGTAGCCGCACCCGACCCCACCCGGCCTCGTGATATAGATCGTCACAGAATGCAGCCATCATCACATGGGACGTGTTACTTTCCTCATTGAAAAAGAAAACTTCTCTTCGCCTCATTGGTCCCATTTACCATTTACAACTGACGTCTTATTTCCATGAAAAAAAGCAAATACAATGAAGAAAGAAACGGTCTCCATGACTACGTTAACCATATAGTACCCGATTATCTAGAGCAGAAGACGATCCTATTTGTGCGGAATGGTTCTCTGCATGGGCCATTGAATGGCACGTCCTTCCCACCCTATATCCCCAAAGAAAACGACGAGACATCAGCTAACTTTATTTCGTTCACCGCATGTTTATTTTACGGTAGCTCCGTAGTAATGTAGAGGGCTGTATGTGATTGACAGGGCTTTGAAGCTAAGGAGAAGGAAGAACAGGACAAAATATGGACCGTCCGATTGAAGGACTTCGGTGATCGGGCAAAGAGTAAGCTACCAACAACGAGCCGGAAGCTGCGGGAGCTCCGATGGGCTGTGCATACAGCACAGAGCATGACATATACATACACTCGTAATTTATATGGCTTTGTATTATTGTCTCCGACTATGTTGAAACATTCGTGAAGACGGTGGTGCATGCAGCTGGCATGGTTTTTACTGCTTATCAGCACATGCAGGTGCAGTGTCTCACTCTCGTCGTTGAAACGTTGAAACCAAGGACAGATCCAGACGGGCAAAACTGCTCTGTCAGTTTTAAATTTCGGCAAACACGCCTTCCATGACATCCTACCGTTAGAAAGAGATAACAAAGACGGCAACCATTGTATCTCGGTTGATTTCTGGATCTGTCCTTCGTTATTATAATTAATTTAATCCGCGCGGCACTGGTGGCCGGTCCAAATGAAAAAAAAATGTTGTAACGGCGTTTTTACACCAACACAAAGACCCTCTAAGACATAGGCGGCGGAACAGGGAGGGCACCGGGGCACCGTGCCCCCCTTTAATTTTGGCATTTTAACATTAGCCCTATAGGCGCTGCATGGAAAGAATGGGACCAAAAGTCGGCAGTGCCCCCCCCCCCCTTAATTGAAGGTGTTCCGCCGCTACTGCTCTAAGACGTCTTGAATGTCAAAGCGGTGGTAAATAACTGCACCAGACTCGGTCATAAAGAAATATCGGACTGATGGGGTCGGCTGGCCGCGCCCGGTGTGTGACCTGTGTGCCCTGTGGCCCAGCGCGGCTGCCAAAGTGGTTCGGCGAGCGACCCGGTAAGAAGACCGACGATCCTGAAACTCCTGAGGAGGAGGAGAAGGAGGAGGAAATGGCGCCGCCGGCCGACGAGCCGGAGGAGGTGAGAGCGGGCGCTCAGTCAGTCAGTCAGTCAGTCAGTCAGTCAGTCAGTCAGTCAGTCAGTCAGTCAGTCAGTCAGTCAGTCAGTCAGTCAGTCAGTCAGTCAGTCAGTCAGTCAGTCACCAAGGGCTGGTCGGAGGGGTCGGATGCATGGCGGGATAACTGCAAATGGCATGGATCGCGTATGAAGAGAGGAAGAAAAGATAGATGTATATATAATACATAAATAGATAGAAAGAGAGAGAGAGAGAGAGAGAGAGAGAGAGAGAGAGAGTGAGAGAGAGAGAGAGAGAGTGAGAGAGAGAGAGAGAGAGAGAGAGAGAGAGAGAGAGAGAGAGAGAGAGAGAGAGAGAGAGAGAGAGAGAGAGAGAGAGAGAGAGAGAGAGAGAGAGAGAGAGAACTGCCCAGGTGTCCATATTACTAGTGATGTAGACACTTTAGCCTATATTTAGAATCCAGAACGTTGTTCTTTTGTTGTAGCAGTAAAAAGTCGTCCTTTTTGCCCTTATTGTTTGTGCACATATAAGAAAGGAAGGGATTATTTCTTAGATCTTATTGTACGAATGCTAGAAATAGTTTTGCACCCGCCTTGGTAGACTTGGATAAATACTAGATAGATGTCCCTGATAGTTTGCCCACCTCTACTATTGTCGTCATCTAGAAAAAAAAACATAATCATATGATTGACAATGATTCATTGTTTTTCTTTCAGCTCGAAGCGCCGGCCGTAAGTCTGGTTGACTCATTCATAACTGACACTTAAATACTGCTGGCACATGCTAATCACTTCGGTTTTGATCTTCTAACGATGACAGTTATCTCAATATATTAAAGTTGTAACAGCTTTCACTAACATTTACAGTACAGGCTACAGCACTGTCCGAAAACATTCGGTGACATCATCGAGTCGTGGGTTTGATTGTGCTTATATCATTGGTGACACGTTCAACTAATGCTTGAGAGGTACATGCTGGTCAGCTACGTTGGTTTGTTATATTTTATTTATACGTGATGCGACTGTTTTCTTTGCTTTGATTTGCTCTGTCTTGTGTTTTATTATTTTCTATCTCTCTCCGTGACTCGTTAACGCTCGTTCATTTCACACTAATCGAGCTCAACTTCATCTTTACCTTAACCCGCGCACCGACGGGGGTCTGCGCCAACTTAGTACCGACGGGGGGGGGGGGGGCGGATGACCGCCCCCCCCTGAGATCTCGAGAACGAAGCAAGATAGCGACAAGCGGTAAACGGCATCGGATACGCACGGACAAGGTCTACAATTTTTACTAAGGTCATTTTCAGGTCAGGTCAAAGATGACGTCACAGGGGTCGAAAAAGTCAAAATGGCGGCGCTAGATATGGAGAGGGTTTTTCTCGAATAACTTTCGAAGTAGTCAAGATAGGAACAAACTAAGGGCATCATCGTGATCCTCTCGTCTATCCGCATCGAATGATATATATGTTGACCTCGAAAGGTCAAGGTCAAAGGTTGACCTCAGGTCACGTGACCTCGAGGTCATCATGTATATCATTCGATGCGTCTTGACGAGCTGAACACAATGAGACCATCCGCGCGGCTGTATCTTGTTCCTGTAAGGAGTTATTGGCAAAAAACCTTTGGTGACCTTTGATGACGTCACATGACCTCACAGCTGCCCAACAGCAAAACAGACCTCAAGGTAGTGAAGGTTGATCGTATGTGAAGTCATGTATGGTATATGGGGCCATTCCGACCCGTTTTAGTGGTAAAAACAGGGAGTTGATTTTTCCCCCATTGACTTATAATGGGGAGGTCGCGAAATTGACCTGACCTTAGGTCACCGACATCAAAATTCCGAGATATACAAATTGTAGCTACTAATGACCTAATAACATCCTGCGACTTTCAAAGGCCTCCGACATCTACTGTAGCTCTGGCACGGTGACAAAGTTGCAAAAAAGTGACTTGAGGTTGGGTCATTCAAAGTGACCTGGTGACCTGACCTTAAAAGTTAGGAGGTTCAAACTTGCACACCATGTGTAAAATTGATGAGAGAATAGTCATACCAAATTTCGCGGCGCTACGCGCCGCGGTTTTCCCGCTATCCGCGAAAAACCTCAGGGGGGGGGGGCGGATATCCGCCCCCCCCGTCGGTGCGCGGGTTAACTTAACTTCATCTTAACATCTTTACCTACTTCAATGCTGGCCGTGTTACCTGTATTTAATTTCATTATTCGTTTTAGCTCCATGACAAACTGACAGATATTTATATCGAGTGAAAACTGGTGCATTTGATCAATATGCTTTCGTTGTAGAACTTTGAAGACGTTGCTAGGTACAGCTACTAACTAGCAACATCACCGAATATCCTAAATTCGAACATCATATCTCTCTGATATCCAATATCATTTGCATCAGTGCATCCCGATTATTTCGTGCTAAGGAAGACTCACAATACCTACTTTTGTGGAATTGCAGGAAGAGGAAGAAGAGGAGGAAGAGGAGGAGGAAGAGGAGGAAGAAGAAGAGGAAGAAGAGGAGGAGGAAGAGGAAGAAGAGGAATAAATTCAACCCAGGTAGTTGGCACTAGCGTGCACATCACTCACGCACTTCATTTGTTTATTTCGGAGTTTTTCAAATAATATGTAAAAAAAATGTATCTCTGAGCTGATCCTACTACCTTCAGGGAAGATAACAAAAATCGTACTTAAAATGAAGAGGTACAGCCCTCTGCAAACTGCGTGGTAGGTATTCTTTTTTCGATAAAACAAAGAATAACGCGAATACTATGCTATCGGTCACTCAAAAATCGTAACAGCAAGACGCGCGAGACTCCGCACCTTAGACTGGCATTGTCATCGTGTTCATTTTCCATCAAGTTTGGCAACAAAACCCAGAAGTTTATATTTGCCCCCAAAACAAACTTTTGCATTTTGCTGCCACACAAGACGTATACTTTGTTTAGTGATAGACCCATTCGAAGGAGTGGAGCATGGAGCATCTATTTGCAGTGAGTTCCGACCGACTGATAACATAGCCTTTGAGCTATTATCGGTTTTGTCGAAAAAAGAATACCTACCACGCAGTCTGCTGAGGACTGTACAACATATGCATTGCAATTCATTGAACATTGCCATTCTAAATTGACGAAAATGCAGTTTTGTTTCCATTTTTGAACGATCCCGTAAACCTCGTAACAATGCTCTGATGAAAGTCGCTCGCTACTCTTCGCTCATTTTAACCAAAAAACACACATATTGCTACTGATGCATGCGGAACAGGAATTGACAGGAGCTCTTCTTTCGCAGCGTATGCTTCAAGTCTGTGTACCATTGTCGCTCAACCGTGTCTCCATGTCAACTTCAACGTAACTCCTGCTACTGCCTTCTCGTCGCGGGCGCCGCGGCGGCCGATCCACTGACGTCATCAAATCGACCCAGTGACGTCACAGGCCGGCTCCGTGTCACCGCGGCGACCCTATCCCGGCTCTCAGCTCATCCAGTGCCGGAAACACACCGAAATTCATACTCATGCGCCAACGGGCGGGCGTGGCGTGCGGCCCGTGTAACACCGGTCTGTCGGTCACGTGTGAGGTCAGGTCACCCGGGTGGGTGGGGCCAGCGCGCGGCGGGACCCAGCCACCGTTCTGCGCCCCGGCCCGGCCCGCCCGGTCACCGGAGAGGCAGCCTGGGCAGCGCCCGGGCGCCCCAGGACCCCGCACGAGCTCCAGCCGCCGCGGACTTGGTGATTGCCATCAATACACATCTCGGTACGGGATACGGGCTGTCTGTTTGGTGCTGGGGATGTGGTGGGATGAAAGGCAGTGAAGATAGAAAAAGACGCAAACTGATGAAGCAGCAATCTCGCTTTCATACGAATCAATCGCTAAATAAAAGCTCACTCACCACCAGGGGCCCGGGAACGATTTTCAAGTTGGGGGGGGGGGGGGGTTAGCCTAAAATACCTGACATGATGCATATGAAACAGTGGCGTAGCTAGGGGTCTAAGGGGACACGTACCCCCCCCCCCATCGGGATAAAGGGGACCCTCGGGTCCGAGGGGCCCTGCGGCGCCATTTGACCGCTGAGGGTTAACGATGGCCATATTTCTACTCAGAAGGGCCCCATGAGGCTCGTCAGAGCACCTCATGGGCCCTAAATAGCCATACTAAGATCTCCATAAGGGTCCGACGCCGGCGTCTGAGGGCCTCTTGCGGCTTTTAAGGACACCTCGGTGATCTCCAAAGGCCCGTTACTGGCCTCTGAGAGGTCTTACCGGCCTATGAGGTGCCAGTTCTAGGGGCATTTCTCGCCTGTGATGGTCCCACACTTAATTTTCTGAGGGCCCCATAACGGCAACTGTGGGGCCCTCGTCGGCGCCTATGAGGGCCTGTCTCTAAGGACCCCACAGGACTTCTTCTGCCGGCGTAAGGTCCCCTTGCCGGTCACGGAGACTCCCTGCCGGCTTGTAGAGAGTTCGCGTCAGCAGCACTAAAGGCCCCACACCCGTCTGTAACGGCCCCACACCAGCGTCTATAGGATCCACAGGAACGCCTGTAACTTGTAAGGACCCTCATCGGCGCCTCTGAGAGAATCACACTAGCACCTCTGAGCGCCCACACCGGCACCTGCATGGCGGCCCCACACCAGTGCCTCTAAAGGCCCCTTACCGGTGGCTCTGAGGGCCCTACGCCGGTGATTCTGAGGGTGCTACCGATAACCGAAGGCACCACACAAGCCCTTAGTGTCGCTGAGCTTTAATCCCATACCGGCCCTCCGAGGGCGCCACGTCAGTGCACTCATTGCCCCACACCCCTCCATCACATCCGGAGCGGGTAAACTGTGTTATACCTATAATAGCAACGATTTTACCACCGTTGTACGTTATGTATTTCTCAAAGTTGACTCAAGCTGGACGCCGCGCTGGTGCAGTATAAAATCTGGCCTGCCAAACTTATGGCCACGATCAGACCCAAGTCAAAGCGGGATGACAATAGTCAATAGCAGATGTTGTCAAATCGATACCTACTGTATCAGCAGAAACCATTCAGATGGCAAGGAAAATGCCATGTGCTGATGCGTAGATGTATGAAGGAAACAAGAAGGAAAAAAGTCCGGAAAAGGGAGGAAAGATCTTTTATCGCTGCCTCAATGTTGAGGGGGCGCCGCCCCCTCGGCTCTCAAGTTGGGGGGGGGGGGGGCAAGCGCCCCCGCTGCCCCCCCCCCCCTGTTCCCGGGTCTATGCTCACCACAACCTTCATCAGCAAGTGTGCATATGTCATGTGAACGTATTTCAGAATGGTAAACGGAAACGATGACCGTTTGATCGCACTCGACTTTGGTGAAACCAAATATAATCAACCTAGAATCTGCAGAACATCGAGACACAAACCCATGCACGAAGAAAATCAGCTCAGCGTCAAGGGAGAGGGAGACTATAGGCGTCAAGGGAGACTATAGGCACGACTGGCACTGAATCTCAGAGCTAAACGCATGGTAGTTGATAGACTGTCCCGCACGGCACGACTGTCTTGCGGCACAGCCTACCTACTGGACGGCGATTCCTCAAATGAAATGTCCGTTAATCAATTCGCAAAGTTTTTTTCATGAATGGTTTAGCAACCCGTTCAAATGCTGAAGGGGTTGGAACGCGTCCGCATTTGCAATCAATTCGGTTCTGATTCAACAGCCTTTGCACATGTATGTATGTATGTATGTATGTATTGATCTAAAATCCATCCACATAACATGGTTTTTCAGGATTCAGCGTCATGCACAATACAGTAAAATGCAAGAAGGCGATAGGCACTGGCAGATAAAATAAGACAACTAACTGCACTAAAACCGGAATAAAACACAGCACCCCAAGATCTCAGGCTTCGCTGGCCGCCACTGCGCGGCGAAACGCGGTCAGCGTGGGCTGCTCCCTGACGGCCGGCGGCAGCCGGTTCCACGCGGCAGCAGCGCGGTAACTAAACGTTCTCTGTGTGGAAGAGAGCCTACACTTCTGCAGCTCCAGGGCGCCAGCTTCTACAGAGCGTGTGACCCGGCCAGACACCTCAGAGCGGGACACAAACATGCGGCGGATGGAGAGAGGGTAAGCTGGTATGTGGAGCGCCTTCCACACCTTCAGTAGGTCCCTCTCCCACACCAGCCGCTCCACTCTGGGCCAGCCCAGGGACGCCAGAGCCGGCCCGATCCTCTCCCGACGCCGCACGCCTGTCACGATCCGAGCACTGAAGTTGATGCTCGATTGATTTTCGACACGTGAGAGTTTTTGGATCCGAGTGAGTTGATTTTTTGTGGTTCCGCCCCACACCGAAATGCAGTACAGAATGTGAGGGAACACGTGGGTCTCAATGAGTAACTTTAGCGTTTCCTGGTCAAAATGGTGGCGGAACTTGGAGAGGGATATGAGGAGGGCATTGCACCTCCTGACGATGTGACTGATGTTGGCGTCCCAGGCCAAACACGAGTCGACAGTCACCCCCAACAATTTGATGGTTGGTGACGGTTTTAAGACTGACTCAGCTATGCAGATATGGAAGTTTTCGACCTTGCTGAGAGTCTGGCGGGTTCCGATGAGAATGAAGTCGGTCTTTTGAGGGTTCATTTTAAGAGAATTTGAGCTAAACCAGTGTTTCATGACATCCAAGGAGTTTTCGACACGTTGTTTTAGTGATGCTAAATTTTGAGGGTCAGGACGCGAGTGATCGAGCAGCTGGGCATCGTCAGCATATGCGATCATCCGACAGTCCGGTAGATGGCAGTGCAGTGCACATGTCTGATTCATACTTTTTTACATGAAATTATACGTAGGGCCTAATTATCATCTCATGTCGTTTACATTAGACATCCTCTCATGGTTTTCAGTGGTATGTTTTCGGTTTCAGCCGCGACACTAACAAATAGGCGAAATCACCGGAATCGGCCTTCATGGAAGTGGTAGCTATTCAGCGAGCAAAACCCTTTTCCTTTTCCTGATATTTAGACGGACAGGCACCATTTGCGCCATTCGGAGACGGCATCGAGAGAATCTGAATGGGTGTTTGCGCGATGGTATGTTCAGAGACGTTCAGAAATAGTTCACTTTTTAACATGGGGTTTTGAACTGGAATAGCAGTTCCGTAGCTTGAGCTGAGAATGCATTAGGCTAAAAGTGAGATAACTATATCTACTTCTGGGTTTTTAAGTTGGTCGATCCTTCCCCCAGTAAAAAATCCGTGGCGACTCCCCTGTGGCCTTCACTAAGTAAAACTACTTAGCCGAGTGACTTACAACGATAAAACTTCATCTTAGAAACGACGAAGATCAAATGTCATTTGATCTAGACATACTCGCTCTTTACTCCCTCCCCCCCCCCCCCCCGGTCGTCAGAATTCATCATTCAGACCCAGCATGTGTCGGCCGACTTGTGACCCCCCCCCCCCTAAACGTTCCCCTAGATCCGCCCTTGTCGCTATGTAGAAAACCAATGCATAGATCCGGCGAGGGTTATATTTCTTCGTGTGATCATGAGAGGAAATGCACCCTCTGGACCCTTTAACAAGGTATATTTAGAAACAATGCTAAGAAGTGTCTCCGTTATCGCATCCTCTTACTCACCAAGTAACAGTAATCAACAATCTGCAAGTCAGGTGCTAATCCGCACCTGGTAACCGATAGAAGAGAGGAAAAGAGACAACTGGAGAATAAAAGCCGCACGCCTCAGCCACGGCCCAGAGCAGTGACTACTTTCGTCGTTGACACTTGACTGACAGTGACAGCAGCGGCAGCATGACACCGCCGAGCAGACCAGTCCTCGGGGTTCCTCTCGCAGCACTGCTGCTTCAGATTGCTTACGGTGAGTTTCGGCTTTGAAAGGTATAATTGTGTGCTGAACAGTTACGGATAGGCGATAGCCAAATGGCACGTCTTATCGCTAGTTAGGAAATATGTATATGGGTTACAAACATATTCATTTGAACTTGAGTGTACCGACATGACACCTTAAATCAACATGAACTAGTTATGCCCGAAGAAGATTGACCAAAATTAATCAATTATAATAATACTATTTTTCATCCTCAGGACAGTCAAATCCTTCTCCTCTAAGCCTCTAGCCCGGTGAGCCAGGCTGGACGGCTATCTTCATGCTAGATTCATGCTTCATGCCTTCATTCATGCCACATTCACGTAACCCTAACGAACAGGGTTACGTGCAGTGGGCCGTGGGGTGACCGGCAGTGGGGCTGGGTGGCCTGTTCCATTCCGGCATGTTTTCGCTCTGTAACTCCGGCCCACTGAGCACCATGTGACTCCAGAACAGTGAGCCCTCAGTGACTCGAGCGGCCACTGGTACTTACTCTTTGACCTGCAGATCACTGCACTGTCAGTAACCCCGACCCACTGTACCCCCGGCGTCCGTCCGACCGTCAGGCTCGGGGACGGTGTTCGATGCCAACCTGTTCCAGCAGACGTTCGACGTGCTGGGAGCGCGCTTCTGCCTGCCGGCCGACTTTGACAACTCAACCATCAGCCAGCTGGCGAGCGCCTGCGAGGCCAGAGCCACCGCCCCGGTCCAGCCGCCCGAGTGTGCGGGCGCTTCCTCGCTGGGAAGCTTCTACAACTGTCTGACCAGAGAGTAAGCGACCTCAGGGACCGAGCAGCGTCCTCAGGTTGTGGAGGACCTGCCCACTGTTGTGGTAGCGGGGGGAGCGGGAGTGGTCTGTGTTCTTTATCAGTCAGACCAGACGACTTTCATGGGACACTAGGCATTGTGATAACATTTCCTGCAGC